TCAGCCGAGCGCGTTGCATATATCTTTAGCCCGCGAACACCCACGAAGAGTGATACACCATTGCCCAGAGACACTGTCACTAATACTTTGAAGGAATTACTAGGGAATGTCTATTGAATACTCTAATTGGTTCTGCAGTTGCTATGGGTGCTTGGAGACCAGTGGTGGAGTGGTGCATTGGCATCTCCCCACTGGTGGATTTGCATGTTCTCGGAATGCGGGGACTTTATCTGAATCCACTTCTGAACAGCTGGTTCGAGTTTGAAGGAAGAGTCTTTTGTTCTGATAACAGAAGCACTGAACGCTGAACGGAAGATACGCTTACCAGTATCACACATCCACTGGTTCCGATTACTCATAAGCACAACGATTGACGACAGAAAGCAGGCCAACTACGTATCATCCTTATGGAAACACCGTGCTGCACTTTTCACTAGATTGATTATTTTTATCATCTGTAGAATATTTTGGCGTCATATCTTCCGTTGCCCGCTACTTAGCTCTTGCCTTCTTCGCCAGGGCCTCTTGCAGCAGTCGAAACCGAGAGGTGGGGGAGACTCACGGAGGACGGTTTGATTTCTCCTGACTAAGTGATAGATTCTTGTGGAATTAGCCGAATGGTTCTGCTTCCCAGCGTCTTCGTTTCCACAAGGGGAGCTGAGCGCCACCAAATTCAGCGCACAAATATGCTGCGAAGCTGTTCACAAGTTGGCTTTTGCGTGGCAATCACTCTGGCAGCCTGTTCGTATCCAAATGTCCCTGTAGATGCTCTGCCGAACGGCGAAATACATGACTTTACATCCGAGTCCGCTTCATTGTTGGAGCAAACCGAGCTGCAGCACGTTCCCGATATTCCGCAGACAGCCTACCCTACCGATGCGTCTTTTGACATTTTAGAGGAAGCTGGTCATGCCAAGGAATGGGATGAGGGCAGCAGCCTTACTGACGACCAACATGCTAGCGTGCTATCTCACCAAGAATTCGAGGCCACACAGCACGCTCAGCTCCGCTCAATTATCGGGAAGAACTTAGTGCTGAAGGGGTTCATAATTGTCATCGTGGCTGCCATCCTTTTCAGTAAGTCGGAAAGTGTACTTTTCTATTCTGGTTTACCCTATTTTCGGCAATCTTGGCATTGCAATGTGGTAGTCCAACATAGCTGTGCAATCCCAACCTACGGAGGCACGTTCGTCTTCCAAGCAACCTCCTGAGAAACTTCTTCCGGCGCATAAAAGTGGCGGAATGGCTCGTAGGCTTTGGCATTATAGTAGAGACATAGCTAAGGGTTGCTTAGCACGATACGTCAATGTGTACGCTGCAGCAATTTTGGCAATCAAGGTTCCCATTCATACTCTCGAATTCTTGGATTCAGTGGACTATGTGTTGCCTCCCGATACGACTACCGAGGAAAAGCAGGTCGCGCGCAATCTGGATTTAATTTTTTTAATCTTCTTGTTGATGGCCGGAGGTCTTGGGATCATGGGTTTCGGCGCGCTTTCATCGTCATGGGCCACAAAAACAGCATCATGGCCCCCACAACGCGCTTCGATAGAGACTGTGGACGCTGAGCTTGAAGAACATGACACACCTGTGGTCAATCAAGAGTTACCGAGTGGTGATCCACCTTCATCAGACCTGGTCGAATAAACAGAGCTGTAAATGATAAAGTCAAGCACCCGCTTTTCTCCCTTTACATTTCGCTGCACTGCAGCCTGCCCGCAGATTTATCACGTGAATCCTACCATTGTATCGCTGCTCTTTTGGCAACAGTAGCTTCTGAATTTACTTTGTAAAGTTTGTCGGAAACTCATACGTACTGTTGTGCCTTCGTGCATAGGAGTTTTGCAGGATATTGAGCAGTTTTCCACTCGAATCCTTAGTTTCTGGAAACTTGTGTACAACGGTGAATTATTCATGTGACGGTCAAAAAAAAACTATATTTTTGTAAATATTGAAACATCTAGACTCTGCGCGCTAGGGAAAAGCAGTGTGTTGGGCTAAATAAAGAGAATTTTCGCTGCCCACAGGTTGAAGTGAGACACGGGTGTGGCATGTGCGCTTTGGAAGGCATTGTATGCCCTAAATCTGGGACGGCCATGGCTCTGCTTCTTGGGATAGAGATACAATCACACAGAATTGCAGGGACTGGAAACTCCTTGATAGATTTGCATTAACGGGGGCACCTGTATATAGGAGTGAAACAAGAGCCTTGCCATTTATATCAGCACGAGCAGCATCCATGCATGCAGGACCGCTAAAAGCAGCAGCAAGTTAGCTTCTTGCTTCACGTCGTCGCAGAATAAGAGCGTGTGTATCCCCCTGGAGCTGCAGGAGTCCGGAGGCGAAGTTCATTGAGGGCATAAGTCCAAAGGGGCCCCCATAAAGAATCTTGCACAGAGAGACCATACGCTATACAGGTCAGAGTCCCTGGGTATTAGTTCGCCCCGCAGGGCATTGACGCGGCTCCAGCCATAAAAGACAACAGGCTGCCACTTGAGGAGAGAATGTAGAGTGCGATTGGGGGGAGCGGACTTATTGAGGCATATAATTTTCGAATCAGTGTGCCCGGCCAGAGATACACACTAAGGCCACAGGAATGAAGAAGAATGCTGTTGTATCCTTTGACACTGCAAAGACCACGGTGGGCCACATCAGTGCGGCTACGCCAGGATCTGCCGCAGTCATGAACATGAGGAAGTAGAGAGCATAAACAAGTGAAATGGTCCACTTAAACTATGAATTGTAATCACAGCTAATAGAAACTGTAATCCTCTACTGTGCTCGTTTCAACCTAAAGCTACGGGGCTGGTACGGTGGTGCCCCAGGTGTAACTGTGGTTGTCGGATCTTCAGCCTGATATTTTTGAAATCCCGATTATTATTTTTCTGTTCCTTTTTACTTTTTGACTTTTTGGAAATTTGTGGCGATTTAAACTGTCAATCTACCCTTGATCTACCCTCTAGTCTCACAGACACCCAAAGCTCCCCCCCTAATTATGGCATTAGGGCCCCCCTTAGTTGTCTGGATTTCATCACCTGTCCTAAAACCTTTATTTCTTAAGAATCAGTCGCATGCAAAGGTTCCGCGGCCCACCTGGAGAGCGTGCTGCTGAGTTTTTCCACCCCCCAGGACTACAAAACCAGCCTACCAGCAGCGGTGAGGAGCAACACTCTCCAGTTAAGCATCTCATACACACCGATGGGCCGCCCTTGCCCATCAACGGCACTATAACCATGTATAAGTGACTTGTGACATCACGAGTCGCTTTCTGCCTGTACTTTAGCGTGAGGTTCCCAAATCTTGCACGAACAACCTTTAACCGAACCCCTTCGTTCTCCAGGGGCCGGAAAGCGCCTTGGCGCACCTGCCGCATGTTCTGATTATACAGCGGATAGTCAGAAAAAGGGACGTACTCTCCCTGTCAAAGGTCGTCTGCTTCTGGTAATCTTTTTGCCGAGACCCTCTCCTCTCGGCCCCCCTCCCAACGTCCACCACGTGGGAGCCATGGCGGATGGAGGCTGGCTCAGTGGTTGGATTTCGCGGGTTTTGCAGCCGTTTGCTCCAGGGGTTCCGAGGAAGCGGAAAGTGCTGAATTCGTCAGAAACTGAGGCAGCCTGCGGCCTCCTCCAACCCTCAACACAGCTGGCTGCGGCATCCAAGCGTCAGCGACTTGCGCCGTCGCAAGCACCGACCTTAATCGACGCAATCCATCACAATTCGCAGTGCTACCCTTTGCAGCCGCAGAGGCGATGCGCGTGTAGGGGTGCACAGAGTCTGCAGCCAGGTGTTTCTCACGTTGCAAGAGCCCCCCATTCCTCGGAAAGGGCGCTTAAGGTACGGTCCCTGGGCTTGCGCTAAACGCTACTGTGCTTTCCTCAGTAAGGCCAGCTATTCCAATTCTTGCCCTCTAGTGTGCAGTGTCGGAGGAGCTCCAAACAATGCACGGCGGACGCTTCTGCATTTTGCGTCTCTAATTCCATTTCGCGCAGCCTCCCGCCTCCAGCGGCGACAGCGATGCCTCCTTCGCGTCTGTTCCTTCTGGAGATGAGCGAGAGGATGCCCAAAAGCTGTCCTACAAAGGTAGGCCCCCGCTTTTAATAGGGAAGGCTGAGGCTGTGCAGCAACAATGGGGGGCGCAGTGTCTCCACCGCCAGCCGCATCGGCGAGCTCCGCCTATGCCCCTGCAGCCAGTGCAGCAAAATCAGCAGCAACAGCGTGCGTTTTCCTCTCTCCTGCCGAACTTTTCTGCGTCTAAAAGGGGGCTGTGCGCGGGAACGCGCTTAGAGGAAGCTCCGAGAAAGGGCCTTACTGCGGCGCTGCTAACAACAGAAACTACAGCAGCAGAAACCTCAACACAAGCAGCCAGCCGGGGTGGCTCTTCTGGGCTTCGTCCTCTTCACACTCTCTCCCGAGAGAGCCCTTGCCTTTCGGATCTTTGGCGGCCCTTCGGGCGTGTCTCGCCTGCACTGTCTCTGGGGTTCACGTCGCGATCAACATCTGCGCTGCCGGAGCTGCCTCATCTCTGCTCCACTTCCCAGCCGAAGAGCAGTAGCACCTCCGCTTTGCCGCCTCTTTCCTCCGCACCTAGCGAACCGCCTGAGCCCTCGTCTGCCGTCACAAAAACCATCGCGGATGCTCACAGAGACCTACGGCATCAACAGAAGCTGTTGCAATTGTTGATGCAGTCTCGTTCGGAGCGCCAGAGTCATCAGCAGCCGCAAAAGGGCAAGGGGCAGGCGCGACTGGAGGCGCAACACGCGCAAGGGATCCGCCTTCATCCTGAGAACCCTCGAGGCATTGCGAGAGGCAGCGGCGGCAGTAACAACAACGGCATTAGCAGCATAGGGGTCCTACCAGGGGCTTGGAGCCAAGCAGGGGGCTGCATGCAAGATCGGCACGATGCATCTGCACCGCCTCCTACTTGCACGGTAGTATCTTCCAGCGCTGTTGGTGGAGGCTCTGTCGCCTCCACGCCCGTCCAGGCTCCCCAGGGGGCCCCCATGGGGGGCCCTTTGGAAAGGCGCGGCTCCGTGGTGGATGCCTCGAAGGGGCTTTTCTGTTCGCCTACGAAGACGGGCGAAGATGCCCTGCTGGAAGGCGGACAGATCACGTTTGGGCACCGCGTGCTGCGACCGCTTGTCAGCAAGGATCCCGCAGAAAACTATGATGCGTTTCTCGACATCCTGAGACAAGCGCGGAAACAGTGAGACAATAGCACAAGAACAGCCTGAATAGAGAGGGGCGCACACAGGCCTAGAAAGGGGGCTGCGTGAGAAAGGCCAGAGGGAGTCATGTGAGACAGCGTTTTTGTAACTTTGTGTGTGTGCCTTAGTCTGCTTCTGTGATCCCGCTGCTTCCAATCTTTTGCACCCTTGTAGCTGAGTCCATAAAGGCTGTGCATGTGTGTGGGGGGGGCGGGGTTGTGGATGTGGCGCGAGGCTCAGCCTCCTCAGCTGCGTGCCTGTGGATTTGTCTACCCACAAGGTGTGCGGTGCCTTCTGCTGCGGCGCAGCTGCGAGGCAGAGACTCTAGAACTGCTCATGAATGACAAGGAGCTCCTATACTATACTCGAGGCAACCACCACCCCAAGATCGCCCTCCGTGCGCAGCAGCAGCAGCAACCAATGCAGCAACAGCATGCATCTCATCGCCAGCAGCAGCTCCTAGCAGGAGCACGTCCCGCGTGGGCTCTACCAGGAACTCTGATGTCGGCTCTTCAGGCTCAGCAAGAAGTCGATCCCTTCTCAGTGTTTGGAGACGCCCCTCCGGAGCTGGTGTTGCACGAGGTCTACGACCAGCAACATTACAGCGCTGTGGGTCCAGCCATAAGGGCCAGCCACCCTATCCTCGCGAAGCTGGACAGGCAGAGACTGCTGCTGCCCCCTGCCCCTGGAAACGGCGGCTGCGGCAGCAAGAGCGGCGGCAACAGCCTTCCCACTGTACAGGCGCAACAGCACGCTGCGTCAGGAGTGCCTGACAAGCTGCATCTAACGCGTGAGATGTGGGAGGAGGTGTTGTTGCCGGCTCTCCAGAGTTGGTGGTGTGCAGAAAGTGCTGTAGAGCTGGACTGGCGACAGGACCCTCTAACCGCCGAGGACTGCGCCTGGTACCTACAGGCAATCGGTGCTTCCCGTGATCTCACCGACCAAGTGACCCTCAAGCAGCCTTGCTTCTGTCCAACACCTCCTCCCCTCAGAGGGTGGAGCTGGACGGATTCAAGACACCTGCTCCGTACAAAACTTGCCTCAGGGACCCTCACGAAGGCGGCTGGCGAGTCGGGGTGTTCGTGGCCGTCGTTCTCACCCCCGAAGCGGAGGACTGAAAGGGAGAAACACACCAGGGTGTTAGCAAAGCAACGTGAAACGGGGGGACCCGCGAAGCGATGTGGAGCGGCTGCGTTTGCTGGAGCTGCTGTTACTGTGCTCTCTCCCATCACTCCAGGAGTCCGCCATCGTAGACAGCGCAAGTATGCCGAGATGTGCGCTCCTCCCGAGGGGGCCCCCGCCTCCAGCAGCAGCAAGAGGAGCCGCAAGGAGGCCCCTCGCCACAGATGCCCCTCGGATGGATCTACCCGTATGACCGCGAATTCCTCTCGAAGTGCGGCTGGCGCCGAGGGTGGCTCCTTCACCAGAGGCGTCACCAGCAGCAGCAGCCTCACTGGAGAACTAGGAGAGCTCCTCGCGGATGCTCAGCGTCGGCTGGACAGCCTGGCCGAGAGAATGCGCAGTCGAAGCCGCAGTCGCAGCCGACTTCCTCCCAAGGCATCTAACGGCACGGATGCAGCTGTTGGCGCAGCCAGCCGCCTTGTTAATCGTCTAAGCGGCAACAGCCTTGCTGGGCGAGCAGGAGGCCGCTCACTTTCCGGAGACGCTGCGGTCGACCCGAGACCACAAGGGCATGGAATTGGTGGGGAGGCACAAAGGGCCCCCACGGATGGCAGCAGTCGACAGCTGAAGGAAGGGAACGCTCTGAGGCTGGCTAAGGCCCCTATCCGTGCTGGTCAGCAGGTGGAGGCCGACGGCCTAGGTATCAGCGGAAGAAGCTACTACAGCAGTAGCAACTTGCCCCTTCTTGGGAGGGAGATGCGGTCCCTCCTCGTTCCCCCGCCTTCCGGCGGAGTCACGAGTGCCACCAGGGAAGCGATTGCGCTCACGAGGGCCCCCTTGGGCATTGGGAAGCTCAGGGTAGCTGCTGAAGGGGGGCCTCGGGGGCCGGCGACTCTGCGCGAGCGCCAGAAGCAGGGGAGGTTCTCTGTTGAGAAGCTGAGGTTGGCTGCCTTAGGGTCGCGAGGTTTTGTTTGGGGAGGGGCTTTGTGATAAGCTATGCAAAACAGTTGTCCTTTTTGTTACTTAAGGGCCCTCGGGGAGGCCCGTCAGTTGAAGAATATGGCATCATGGGCTTTGGGGGGCTGGATAACGGCTTCCAGAATAGGTGGTGCCGACCGCACACGATTTCAGTAGCCCATCCTCTTTTGTGCGCGTTTAGAAACCGGGGAGCGCACGTGCTTGGGCCATGTAAAGGGCCCGAGTGCATGCGCGGGGGGAGGGGATTGGTAAAGAGGTGGTGAAAGGGGCGCCCTCAAGCTAAGGCCTAATATCAGTAGGTACCCTCTGTATCACGTATGCCTGCTGGGTGCCTCATGTGGAATACACCCTTAGTTTCGGCCGAAGAACGGGCAGCCTCTCATCTGCTTTGCAGCAGAAGCCGAGACTTTGCAGGTTCAGTCCACACAGCGAGTGGGTACAAGAAATCATTTGCTTTTAATGCACCGGGCACTTTCTCTAAGAAGCAGTGTGCCCGCGGTGCGGCCCAGACTAGCGGCTGCACTCCCTCGTTTTGCACTGTCCCTATTCTCCCCAGTGAACGGGGAACCTTGGCAATCGAAGAAACCCCCCCAGAGAGGGAGGAAAACGAAACACTTTGAATTCATGAGGCCACCGAAGCCTCAAACGCTACTTGGGGCGTTAATGGCATTACCACGCGTTGGACAGCCTCAAAGAATGCAGCAGGCTTCAAAGCCCCTGTTAAGACAGCCAGCTACTTACATGCATCTGAAGGCAGTCTTCGCAGCGCACAACCGCACGGGGGTATAAACGGAATGAAACTGCAATAGAAACATCGCGCAAAATCAATGGCCCCCAGCTGATGCATGCCAAAGAAATTTGAAGGTCTCGTAGGATCCTGGGAAATATCAAGAGCAAGCACAAAAAGATAACGCACACACAAAAAAGGGCTTCCATGTCTGCCGTCCGGAAAATGTGGCTCCCTCTGCGCCTTCTGCTTATAGCTATTTACCCGTGCTTCTCTTCTTCTGCCCTTATCTGCACCCGTCACTCCCTGCATTCCTCTTAATCCCCAAGTTACTCGTTATCCCACGCGGCAGTTACTACTTACCCCAGCATATTGCTGTTGCAGGAATGCTGAGGCAAACGCGGCTGCTGACTCCCTGTAAGAACCACAATGCGCAACGCAGTGTACACACACCGCGTGTACGGCCCACAAGTGCAACAGCAAAGAGAGCCGCTACGCGTGGAATCCGCAGTATCCCGACAGCCCGTTGTTCGACAGAGTAGAGCAACCGTCAGTCCCTCAGCAGGCCAAAGCAGGCGCATGTTTAGTGGGGAGAAGGATGGCAATTTGTGGTATCTCGCTCCCTGCGCAGAGGGTCTGCCCTGGCAAAGCAGAGGAAGATGACAGCTGTGAGAGTAAAACGAGACGAGAGGCCTTACCCGCCAGAACCCCTGCAGTCCTTCTTCGAGCCAAATCGTCCGGATGGTCCCCAACAATGACTGCATGCAACACACAAAAGCACCAACTCGGCAGCTGCTGCAGTAGCGCCCGCGCGCCCCTTCCTTGAAAGGCCAGCACCACCACAGTAGCGGCTGCAGGCGGTTCTACCCCACAACACCAAGAGAAAAACAAAGACGCAAGAGGCCTCTGAGGCTTCCTCAGACTCTGCGAGCAGGGCCAGAAGGCTGCTTACTTGATACTTGGGCGTGCACGGCCCTAGCTTGCAGCTCCCTGCCTCCTTCACACCGGCCAGAAAAGCCCGCGACTACGGACAGCAGCAAGGAGGCAACACAAGCATTGAGCCATAAAGCAGGCAGAAATTAGAAACCCTATATCCATAAACCGCCTCGAGCCTAATTGCGAAGAGGTAGAAGGTGCCAGAAAGGCCCACATAGCTGACGGGACCCTTCCTGCCAGATGTCTCAGTGCTCCCCTCTGGAAACCAACCTCCTTAGCTCAGTGCAACTGATAAGAATCCCCTGTGGGTCCATCCATGTTTACAAGTGACTTGCAAGACATGTGCATAGGCCCCTCAATACGCATTCCTGCTGGCTGCTTTGAGAAACGGCATAAACAGAACGCGCTTAAATTGGCCGTTTTTGCACGAGAGGTCAAGAGCCAGTGTACCTCTCGAATAGCGCAGTCCTGAGTCTGTAGGCGTGTCTTCACGACATCCAAGGGATTCGATATAAGGCCCGCCACACCGCCACTGACGCCTGCCAGCACCACAGCACTCGTAGCCAAAACACGCAACGTCAGTCGGATCAGCTCTCCTGTCTCGACATGCAAGTCTGCCCGCTGCATTTGTGCAGAGCACTAAAGAGGCCCAGATCAGGAGAGGCATTGCACAGCCCCTGCACACCGCTACCGGTGGGCACAGCCAAAGCACAGGCTTCTCCTCCAACAAGACTCATTGCCCGTTCACGCTTCATGCGCATCTGTTTTAGATGCCCCGCTTCTTCTGCTGCCCCGAATACCACGACACTGAGCCTCTAAGTCCTCCTGTGCCCGACTTGAGGGGTTCCCCACGTAAGCTCTCCAGCATCCATCTACCTCTACTAAGTTTGCGCGCGCGAAATCCCACACCCCTTCCGATCATGCAGTCTCTGCGTTTATGGAGTCTCATACCGGCGCAGAAGAAGTAGAGCGGCAGGCTGTGGGGGGAGAAGGGCGCTAAGGCTTCAAGGTGACCCTTGAGGGTTTCATTGGTGTAAACCAGCGTTGCACCGTGAGGAAGATTCAGGAGCAGAGAGACTGGTAGCGAACGCACAAAGGCCAGATGCCCCTCGCGACGCAAAGTTGCAGTAACGCAGTCTCCCAAGGACCTTGAAGGCATACGCAAGCGACCCGCACAAAAGCCTCGACACTCGTAAATACAACAGCGCAGCACAAGAAGGCCACAGACAGGTAGAACTGTACACGAGGAGAGGGATCTACGGAGGCAATACTGCCGTCTCCTGAAGGGGTCCATGGCTAAATCAGGACAGACTGACGTCATTGCAGAGCCATCGCTCGCTCGCTGCATGCTGCCGCTGGCGCCTGTGTCTCGCGGCCTTCTCTGAGAAGGCCGCGAGACACAGGCGCCAGCGGCAGCATGCAGCGAGCGAGCGAGCCAAGCCTGTACGCCTGTCGGTACCGCCCACCTGAAGCATCCGAGTTGCATGCGTTGCTTTACAACATCCACTGGGGTGAGGATAAGGTCGTGACTCATCGTCGCACAAACGCCACAAGCCAGCAGCTCGCCGTGAGTCAACCACGGGCCGTGCGTCTCTGGGGAGACTTCCCCAGAGCACTGCCCCGGGCCTGTGGGCTCTGTACGGCAGCCGCTTTGGAGGCTAACACACCCAGTGGGAGTGGCTGCTGCCCCAGCTGTTACACTACTGGAGTCTCCCCCGTTTGCAGCCGCCGAAGCCGCCAACTTTTGCTGCTGCTGCTGCTGACGGGCACGGGCCCTGATCTTCATGCGTTCCTTGACCGCTTCATAGGACATGAAGTAACACGCGTGCGCAGGCACACAGCCAGCCACCACGGCGCCGGCTCCTCTGTAAAGGCCCCTAAAGCCCCCTTCCGCATACACTGCCCTGAGGCCAGACAGCAGCCCGAGTCTCCCACTGAGCCGACAGCCATCGCCTCGGCCCAAAGTTTGCTGCACAGCGTTCCCCAGCCCAGCCGCGCTGCTCGAGACACCGCGCAGTCCACTGGCCACCCCGGAGCCTGCAGCAGTGGGCCCCTGCAAGACTAAGGGCCCCGCCAGGCATCGTGTTGCCGTCGAGTTCGAGGCGTCTCCCGAGACTGCGGCCACGCTCTGGCGCAAGCGGCCCCCCCCCCCGCTCCGCAGCCGCTGCCACGAGGGTAGCTTTCTCTCAGTGGCTGCGGAGCTTCGCACTTCTGCCGCCGCGGCTTTCGACAGCGGGCCCAAGGGGGGCACTACGGATGCCACAACTCCCCCAGAAGGGCGCGGAACCCCCCCGCGAAGCGCTACCCCAGCAGCCCTCTCAGAGAGGGAGCCGGCAGACGCTCGCGAAGAACTCCGGAAGCCGCAGCCTCCAGACGAAGAAGCCGCGGCGACTTCCCATGAAGAGACTCCAGGGTACCGCTCCATCCGCACCCTTGCCTTCGCCGCATCCGAGGCTGCAGGCTGTGCGCCAACGCTTTCGTTGAGCCCTCCTGAGCATCGGCGGCTGCCGCTGTAACGGCCGTCGTAGGGGCCTGCCTGGGCACTGCCTGAGGCGGCTGCTGCGTGAAGACGGTGCGAGGAAGGCCTGGGCGGCCCTCTGAACGCCTGCATGCGAGTCTTCAGCGTATCGACTGGGTACATCGCCAAGTGCTCCATGACACCCGCGAAGCTGCCCGCTATGGCGTGGTGCATCAACGGCCAATCCCCCCGCCACTCCTCCCACTCGAAAGAGTCGGAGGAGAAGGCACACGGGGAGCAACAGGGGGGGCCCCCTCCCGGCGACGAGTCATCTGGGGTCACGTGTGGCAGCTGCCTCGAGCTCGGGGCGGGAGGGGCCTCGCGCGGAGAGGTGCGCGCAGAGGGCATGCCCATTGCTGGAAGCAGTGCTGCCATGCCAGGAGCCACCCTTGAAGATAGTACGTCGCAGATACAGCTCCTTACCCGCTGAGCTGCAACGGGTGCTTCTGGGTGCACGGTGGCAACTGCAAAACGCTTCCCTAAGGTCCCACTACGACAGACGCTGCAGCTGTCGGGGTGACAGCGTTGCCATCAACTGGCCTCCTCGGTAGGCCACCCAGCTCAAACCGCGGGAGACTCGGCAGCACTTGTGGGAGGAACTGGCAGCAGGGAAGGGCACCCTTGACAGACGCCCGATCCACCAGCAGCACAGCTCCAGAATGCAGGCCTCAGCCACAGTTCAGTACGACGAGGAGGGAACCTGTTTGTTCATCGGGAAGCCATTGTGCTCTGATGCAACACACTGGCCGCTTCTGCTAGGAGGGGCAGAAACCCTTATGTTGCTGCTGCCAGCGAAAGGGGGCCGAAAGAAGGAGCTCAGAAGGTCCGCTAGAAGGTAGAGTTCTTCTGCACAAAAGGAGGGTAACTTCGAGGAAGCACAGCGAAGCCACCGGCTTCTGCACGCCAGAGCTGAGTCCTCACTAGCTTGCCCCTCCCCACTGAGCTCTTACCCGCGCTTGGGTGCGCACATACACGCGGGCGCAGCGTAATAAAGAGGTTTCCTTGCTATCTTCGGATGCAGCGGGGGCCTCTGATGGGGGCCCCGCCTGCCGCCAGCCCCAGGGCATAGAAGATGGTGAGATGGGCTGCGAACGCGAAGAGGTGGTGCCTTCTCAAGATAGAAGTCAGGCACATCGGGTTTACTCCATTGTTCTAGTGTGACCGTCTAGTTTCAGATGCCAGGACCACTGACATTGGCCTCGGGAAGTAGAAAACCAGCGTGCCGGCAATCTTCGTCGCTACGCCCCACATAGCGGTGAGCGAACGGCTGCTCTCGATGCATCCTTCTTTCCTAGAGGGCCAGACGAAATTAATTCAGACAACAAACGACTAGGATTATGAGTGCTGCATCCGCTACCGCCTGGCTCGTTGTGTGTATTACTCTCCCTGCAACCCTCCGCTGCTGGGGTACCCATACGCGGGGCCCTCAACTCTAGGCAAGAAAAGCCCTCATCTGATCAGAAATGTAAAGCACACCTACTGCACTTCCCGGAGCCTAGGCATTAACTCATCAAGCGGTCCTTTTCCGACGAAGGGACCGAATGGCAACAGAGAACCGCATTCAGGTTGCTTCTTTCATTCCTGCAAACGATAGCGCATAGAAATTGGATTCTTCCCGATTAATTTTGATCAGGCAGTTGGAGTGCAGTAGCTGTTGGGCTTTAAGTGTGCTTTGGCGCTGCCAAAGTCCGGTTGTGCGATGTCGGCGCTTAAACGCTCATCGCAGTACGGTGACTTTTGAAAATGCCGGAAGCCTTGCAAGCAGAGACACATCTAACACTGAATGCTTACTATGCATGGGTTCATGTGCTGTCCTGTGATTCTGCCCACTCGTATCTATTTGCAGTCTGATTCTCCCTGGCAAAACTCGCCGTGTTGCACCAACTGCGTACTTCATACTAGGAGTGCCAAGCCTATGAAGCTTCAAGATGGCAACAGATGTGGCATTGTTGAATTGCTCCTGCTTACACCAAGACTTTGCCGCCACAATTAGTTTTCGAGACCGACAATATGCATTAACTACACGAAGGCGACAGGCAGTAGACGCATAGTCCGTATGGAGGGGGCTAAGCGTCATCCAAAAACTTTCTACAAGAGTTATTTTCGACTACGAATCAGCAAAGGAACTGATTAGTTTGTGTGTTCTTGTATGTTGCTTCGTGCACAGTACTTGGACGATTAACTTAGACGCACTGTTATATGTTCGCTGGATGCTAAGTGCAACTAGCTGTGAGGGCATAGAGCGAGGCAGCTGCGCTCACCGACGCCTATCCCCTCGGCTCAGGAACTCTTTATGTTGCGGGTAGGGCAGCAATCGAGTTTCTTTAAAAGCACTTGAACATGTTGCCGACTCGGTTGATTCGGGAGTTAGGTGGCTTCTTTTAGAGGCTCTATATGTATCGTTGCACTATTCACGCTGCGATCTGCCTACAGGTTGCTTGGGTGATGTATGATGAAATTCCGCTACCCAGCCCGGGATGCAAGTCGCTCGCTGACCTGCTAGTCGTGTGCCAGCTCCGCCTCTTCAGCTCGATATTTGAACAGAGTGTGCTTCTTGAAATGTCACTAACGCGCTTTTATTGCATCTCTGTAGTTACACAAATCATACAGCGAGCCACAGGGCCACTCAGCACCGCATGCTTAGATGCGATAAACGACTGGTGGCTTCATTTGCGCTATGCGGCACGCCATTTCTTTGACGAAGCAGCACTGCTCTAAGGAGCATTGCAATATTGGTTTATCTTATGCCAATCGAGAACCCGCAACCAGCAGCTGCATCCTACACTTAGCATGCAGAAACCTTCAAGGGGTGTTCTGTAGCAGCATATGTGGCCACTGCCCTTAAGTGGGAATCGAATGCCCGCCTAGATTCCCAATGCTCCGCTCTCAGATCAATAAGAATCCAGCAGAAACTCGTTTTCAGAGACTTTGGCAGATTAGTATTTCTCAAGGCACGAAGGCAGAATACGGCCACCTGACGTAATAGAGAGCCACCACGGGAAAAATTGTCTCGTTTGGGTATAAAGGACTGTGGCTTTACCGTGGCTTCACTAGACTCTAATAAAGACCCAAGCGGCACTATTCTTCCATGTGTCACGCTAGTGGGCAGCCCTATTTGTCGCCTAAAGCAGCTACGCAATCACTGCATTCCAAAGTGCTGGGCTCAGACAGACACGCTGAACTGCCAGGCGTGTGTAAAGAAGCTGGGTGAATCGGCCCTTTGCAAACTGACCAAGGCAGTTACACTCTGTTGGTGCTGCTGCAGAGAGCAACTAAACAAAAAAACAGCATGGAAGGGGGCCCTTCAATGTAGCAGCTTGCCTAATAGTTGTATGGCTGGCTCGTCACCTCCGTTTCCAGCTGATGGTGCGACTTTCTGTCCGCATGGAGTTCCCTTCATTTGCCTGCGAAGATACGGAGCCTCATCGTCCACACACCCATTTGATAAACTCTAAAATCAGTTCATCTAGACAATACTGACATATAAATACATTGGGGCCATAAATTCGCCATGCAGTTTGTCGGAGCTCCGTTTTGCGGCAAGCGTAGCGCGACCCCACTTACTCCTGTGTAGATAGAATTCGGTAGGAAAGCTGACTCGCTTCCTTCTCCGGCCCCTCCAAATCCCTGCGTGTCGGTGTGCTTGGCCCGCTTTGTCCAACTGGTCACATGCAGAGGCCCTCTTACATCAGGATGCGCCTCGTTTGCAGCATTCACATTAGTCTTGGCAGAGGGGGGCCCTAGGGGCAGCGCTGGGCGCGGCGGAAGCTGCCTTTTGGCCGGTGGCTGCAGTGAGGAGCCTGCGGCTGTAGGCAAGACCGATGACTGAGCCTCCCAGTGAGTGTCTGCCAAGGATCCGCACGGTGCGCCATCACTTTGCTGTGTCGGTACATCTGGCGGACTACTGGCATAGGACGAACCCCTGACTGGCGCTTGTGAGCGGACTCCTCGCCGGCTCGACTGAGAAGCATTTGAACGCACATGGCTTTCCTGAAAGCATTCGGGCTTCATTGCTCACCAGAAACGCAAGTGGAATCGGGCACAAAGCGGTAGAGGCTCAGAGAAACTTTGAAAGACGCCTGTTCACCGACCGCTCGAACGTGAAAGCCCAGCTCACTGCCCCCAGCATTCTGAAAGCAAGAGACAAAACAGAGGCCAGCAGGAGAAGGACTGCCTCACCAGCTGTGAGAGAAGGGAGCGAATATCCATTTGCTGCTTAGAAACGCCTGCGGCCGCAGGTGGCTGCCTCCCTTTCCTACGAGCAGTCCCTTGCGTCCCCTCCTGCAGCAGCGCCATCAGCACCAGCACACATACACACACGAGCATCCACCAAGAGTCTGCGCATTTGATAGCCTTCGAACCCTCCCAGAGCCACCTCACGCAAGGCGATAAAATTTGCGCAGAAGACCCTCTTTATTCTCCGTGACCGTACCGTGTCATCTTGGCTGTCGCTGTCGCTGACTCCTATTGCATCAACACCTGCTTTGTGCTGTGTTGCCACCTTTCTCCGCCCACGGCCTCTCCCCGCTTCTGTTTGCTTTTTCGCTGCTGCGCGTCTTGGCTTCTTGGAAGCTCCTGGAAACTCAACTCTCGAGAGCCCCTCCTCAGTGTCGCTGGTCAAGGGCGCTGCAGGAGTGCCACCGGGGGGGCCCCCACGGCTCGCTCTCCCGCGTCTGAGAGGAGCCACTGCTGTTTTTAACCTCAAGGTGTCTTCTGTGCAGCTTTCCTGTGAATCGGAAGGGTCGCAGCCATCCGTCATTTCCACACCAGCGCCTGTGGGTAGGGGTGGTATAGACACCGGCGCTGCATCCGCGGACGCTGCGGTGTCAGGAGGCCCTGAAACGCCTGCAGCGCACAGCCACAAACAGCCTTTGAACAATGCCGCAGATGCCCACAGGAAAGCCTTCGCTCCGTACGGGCATTGCCCCTTCATGAGACTGCGGTAGCTCTGCGCTTTTCGCCTCATGCGTAGAGAGTCATTGAAAAGGCGGCGAAATGCGAGCCAAACGTCGTACCGCCGCCCTCAGAAGATTCCTGGAAAAAAAACCGCATCCGCATACAAGATGCACCAGGGCATTGGTTCCAGTGCGCTTTTCTAGCGGGAATAAGCAAAGACCCCAATCCTTATCAGAGCATCACTCCCCTTCTCTACCACCGTTCCTCCCATCAAGTGCCACGGGAGACTGCCCAGCATCGAATGAGACGCTTGCACACAACACGGCACTGTGCTGCATCGTGGACTCGCAGATATACACGGGCCACACTGGCTTACTGCTGCTTCTAGACGCCGCATGCGGGCTTCTTGGGTGTATTTCTGAGGATTAAAAGCACCACACGAAGCCGTAGCAAGTGCCCGATCCGCGCGCAAGTCTCGCAAAGCCTGTATTTTCAATAAGCGACATGACGACGGCTAGAATACCCGTCGCTGTCTCCGGGGCTCTTTGTTAAGTAACACTTTTGCAAGGAAAAAGACGGCGGCGACAGAGGGGGCGCTCGACGTTCTGAAAAGAACCCGGTGTCTAGTGGCGGGCCATCCCTCTGTACTGTCTGGACGGCAGCAGGCGATCCGCATTGTGCCCTCCGCCCACAGAGAGTCCAAAGCAGCGAGGCGAAGAATAACACGGATGATGCCCTCTACACCATGCGTGGCTGCTCAGCTTACGGCAATGATTGCCCTGGCGTCCTCTTGAGAGGGGTACTTGTCGGGTTTTTCTTTGAGGCGCTTTAGCAGCTCATCCCTTGCATGGAGCCTTGCTGTGCTGATGCTCCTAGATACGAAGGCGGATATAGCCGAGGGGTCCTGAGCAGCCAATCAAAGGGCAGACAGATCGGATCAGGGAAGCAGAGGGGCATATTCGAGGATACATAAACGGCATCAGGACAAGCAGGGGGACTGGCAACAACATGCACACACAGATGCAGGTTCGACCCGGAGTCAATAGGGGGCCCTGTCCCACACAAGGGCCGCAAAGCGATATATTGCGGAGGCAGTGCATCACATGGAATCAGGGGAGGGCACCGGTGGGGAACAGAGGCTCGTGCTGCAAAAAGACACTGGATGAGAAAAACTGCCGGCCGCTCTTCATGTGAGGGCGTTTACGAGCAGTAGCGCCAAACTGATTTTCATCAACGTGCCACGTCCTAAGCCTCTACTGGCATACACTGCAGGTGTAGGCGAGGAATGCTTAAGAGGCAAAGCAGTCCTCATGAGCTCAACCAAAGAAGTCCTCAGGTAATAATTGTAAGGGTTGTTCGCCCGAACTGGCCAAGGGCTAGACAAACCATTTTAACTGCAAAGTCTTGAACGGCGTCATTGAAATCCGGTTCAGATAAAACGTTGAGGCCACTGGCACCCTCCATATAATGAAAAATCTGCAGTCAGATGCCACAAAAAGCACTTCCCAGCCGCGCGTCAATGGCCTGCACCGTCCACTCACGCCTCTCCCTTCCCACCCGTGCCCAGCCAATCGGCGGGCCCTCTCTTCGCTTGGCAGCGCCCATAGAGGCCGCTCTCGCCTTCTCCGCGGCATCGTGCTCCCGCGGAGCGTACAGAAAGACAAAAGAGAGGGAAGCAAAGGGCTTTCGGGAGGCCTGCTTGGTTCACTGCGGTGGTGACGCACGATGTCATGTATCTCTGAAGAGCCAGCGCCCAGCGCTGCCTCGAGCTGCAGTTCCGGCAGAGCAGAGCCCTCCTTAGAGGCGCTGTAGCAATCGAGAGCAGACAGGAGACGCTGGAAGGCATGCAACGCGACACTGCTCTGACCCTGCGCTAAAGCTTCCCCTTATCTTTGCTTGGCGCAGAGTCGGCGGTGTGCGCAGCGGCATGCGCAAATTCGGCGCATACCTCTGATGGCTTGAGCGCCTCTTGTAGAAGCAGAGGAGGCTGTCTGGATTGGCCACTCTGCCCACAAACTGCGACGCAAAACGAGGGGCACTGATCGTGCTGAAACCCGTGTGCTCTACTCTGACCCGCACGAGTGGCAGCTTCTGTAGGACTTCTGCAGGGCCCCTGGCGCTGAGGGTCTCCATGAGGGGGCCCCCCGCCGCAGAGTATTTCGTAGCCGCCGACAGATCCTGCGTCGCGCCTGCCCTGTAGTTGCAGAAAAGCTGGTACGCCTGCCTCCTTCGGGCCGGAGCTGCCTCACACCTGGTATTCGGCTGCTGCTGGTGCTGCTGCGACACTGGCATGCTCGCCGACGCAGTCAGATCGATGCCCGCAGTTTGGCTGTACCTTCGAAGAATGTCCTCTACAAGACTGGTCAGTGCCTCCCACGCCTCCCTGTCGGTTGCATCATTCCACGGGTCGCTGAAAGCCGTCGGGAGCCCTCCGGGCTGGGAGGCTGAAGGGAGCTGGCAGATGTCGGCCAAACGCACATCCTCCACAATGAGGGGCCGCACTGTCTTTAAAGGCACTGCCCGCAGGCGGAAGCAGTCACCTCTGCGCAGGAAGGGACAGAGAGACACTAACGGCAGAGTGACGCGCTTGAGCTGCTGCTGCTGCTGCTGCTGCTGCTGCGAATGCGCCGGCTAGCTGCTTTCCAAGAGCTCCAGGGAGCAACGCGATCCTCTGCCCAACGGGGCCTCGTCGCAGGCTACTACCCCACGAGAGGCCTAAAGACTCGCACTCCCCCTATTCAGCAGGTGGCCCTACATGGGGAAGAGAAAAGGTGCAAAGAAACAAGAAGGCTTGCCTGACTTCCAAGACGAACACGTGCTTCTGCTGCGCCTCGCCTGCCGTGAGAGAGGTGGCAATGGAGGAGCCCGGCTGCAGCACTTGGCAGCGACCCTCTACGGACTGACGCAGGTTCGCGTGACAGTCATGCTCATGTCCCTGCATGCGCAGTGCAGATACCCCGCAGGTAAGCCACGCTCAAGGCTTGTCGGCGTGCCCCTCGCAAAGCCAGACAGCACCCACGGCAAACCCTCGCTGTCGCTGGGAAGCTACGCATGCACGTGAATCCACGCCTACCCAGACCACAATGTCTGCGAAGGAAGGCAGCATCCTTTCGAGGACGCAGTTCTTCGCGGGCACGCCGCCATGACCGCCCTTGTACCTGAGCAAGAGCGCGGGGACGACCCCCATGCGCACATCTGCGTGAAGGGTCTGTACGCCCTTGTGTAGGTGTGTCATCTCATGGCAGTAAAACTCGGTTAGGCTCAACAATGCATCGAGGGGCCCCCCTAGTCCTTCATGGCGACTCTTAAAGCGAAGGCCAAACGTTTATTCGGAAGTTTAGCGCGCGTTGGCTGACAACAGCCGAGTCTCTTGGCACACAGAGGAGGCGGGCAGATACGGCGGGGTCACCCTCCACGATACAGGAGAGCCGAACGGGTATGCAGAAGGCGAGCGGCGGTGCAAAGTAATGTGGCTGCCCTTACATGTTTTGGTGGACGACAAGAACGTTGAACCAGCTCTGCACTTCGCCGTCTGCTGGGACTTCGTATGTTACCTAAGAAAGAACGCACTGCCTGCATGCATGCTAGCCTCTGAATTGCTGGATCGTGCTGGAAGCAGATGTGGAGATGCCGTTCAAAAGCTTCTAAATAGCTTTGAGGCTTCACGAAAGTTTGACACCTTTAGAGACAAGGCATGCGTCCCCGTTGCAGCGTCGGCAGCCCCGTAAAGTCATATTTAGCACTGCCAGTCCTTACGGCCCACAAAACACTCCACGGCAGTGCCCTTTGGACAAGCAGAAACCAAGCCGTCTAAATCCGGGAGGAGCCTGATGGGCTTGGTCCTGCACTAAGGCACGAGTTTCAAGGCGTACCTTGCCAGTGGTGTATGCCCGGTGAAGCCGCTCGTCTCGCACCCATCCCATGCCGTATATCGCCAACTGCAAAACACAGAAGAACAGGCAAGCCGTACAACGATGGCGCACAAAAGCACCAAATCCCCAATGGCAAGGGGAGCACCTTTTGTCTGCCACAGACCCGCTGTGCGTAGAGAGAGCCGTGCATGGTCTTATCCCCATGAAACGAATCCTCCCGACCAGTTAAACTCCCTTGCACCTTGGTACAGGGCAGCTCCTCTAAAGGCCCAGGCCGAGGGTGAGGCCGCGCAAAATGAGAGGATCGAGTGAGGCAGCCAGTGGACAGAGTGTCGGAGCTGAGAGCGTTCTCTGTGGAGAGGCGAAACCCACCTTGGAGCTACCCTTGCGCAGGAAGATTGGCCGAATGCGAACGTCCTCCACGTTGTCGACGCGGCCGAAATAGTTTATCTGGGGGCAAGGGGACCAACAGAAAGGCAACAGCGCCGAAACACGTAGCCGTAGCAATCCGACAGAGGCCCATTGGGTACGCAGGTCTAGAGAATATCATGCGGAGCCTATATGCCCAGCAAAGTCACCACACCGGCACTCCCCGTAGAGGCTCCTTGGGCAGCTCATGCAGTCCCTCTGTCCAGCCCACGAGAAATCAGCCGACCTCAAATCCGCAGCTCAAACAAATCCTAAGACGTCAATATGCGGCGGCTAGGCAACCGAAACGCCTTTAGCGTGCCTAAAGCCTAAATTATATGGCCAGTAGTCGTTCGAAGCAGATACTAACCAGGTGCGCAGCCTCTAAAATGTCCAAAGGAGACAAGTGCGATGCATCGCCAGGATCGTCTGAAGATGGCACGCAAGCAGAAAACAGCGCATGCCGAGCTTGATCGACCGCCTGCCCTCTAAGAAATGCCTTGCGCTCCCTCTTCAAGTTGGCAGCGCCACCACCGTAGACATAAAGCTAACAAGCGACGGAAGGTGGAAACTGCTCAGGAGCTCGAGGGTGTCAGTGCGGACTCACCATGATTTCCATGCATTGCGAATATCGGCATGCATACATTGACGTTCTCATTCAAGTAGTTTAGACCAAAGCGAAAAATGTCCGAAATTAGTCCTGTAGTTGCTGAAGGTTCTGCATTTTCTGCCGTGGCCCGCGTGGATCCTGGAGCAGCCTGCTGTTCCCAGATGTGCTCCTTGTTTTGAAGAGAAGATGGAGCTGCTGCCTTGTCGCTTGTGGAGGGCTGAGTGGCTGCGCAGCCATCCGGAGATGCGGTAGTTGAGGCCGGCAATACGTCGAACTGCACGGTGCCAGAGCCGAAGCAGTACTTCCGGAGGAGACACATTGCACGGTACCTGCAAAGTAGGGCAGTAAAGGGACACGTCCACCGTGGCCTGATGAAATAATTCTGGGCATCGGATAAATGGCACTATGCATGTGTTCCGGGGGTAATAAAGAGCTTGAGAACCTCATTTGAAACGCTGGCAGCTTACAGTGTCGTCCTAGATGGCATATTCTCGTCAAACAGGTCTCCGCCATGCAGCATAAAATCAACATTCTCGCGCCTGCCAATCTGGAGAATCTCTTCAAATGTTCGAAAACTGTCATTTCCGCGGACAGGGTCTTCCCCCTTATATCCGAGATGGGTGTCAGTAGCAATTAATATTTTGAAAGTGCTGTTGTCCTCTCCATAGGCATCCCGAATCCCAGATGGGGACCCCTCGCCTTCCCCCTCAGCAAAGAGAAGCGGCTCATGATTCGCTGTGGCGGACGGACTGAGAGGGTCATGCGCACATCCCAAAGAGCTTACTGCAGGGGCGCCTGAGAGCGGTGGACCCCAGGCGTCGCTGGTTTCAGCACCAGAGGGGTGTCTTGCCATTCAGAACGCGGAGGCAACTACTCAGAAACTCCGCCCACAGTAGAAGTGAAGATACGTCATTCGACGATACTTAGATCAGGCCGGTAGCAAGTGATTTTGTCTGATTATCACACGCCCGGATGCACAGCGATGCGGATGCACGTCACGTCCAGGGCAACACGGCCTCATGTCCCAAAGGTTTACACGGCAGCGACCAATGAGCAAAGGGGGAGCTGAAGTACACCACTTTTACTATCAACCGGATGACACCATGCGTTAACGACGAGGCGACCGCAGTAATTGGTTCACAAATGCAGTCCACCAGCGGCGAAGGCAGCCTCATCAAACGTCGCGGCGAAAGAGTTCCAGCCTTTCGGAAGGCCAAGCCGGGTTCCTCTACTAAAGGCATCCAAGTTTACGCCGCTGCTCAGCCGTAAGGAGATATTCAAGCTCTACGAAGGGGGGACTGTTCACGATAGTGCACATGCAGGTGCCTCGGCTTTTCCCCCATTTGTTGGAAGCAGAAGCAGATATGCCAGCAGAAATGTGTATTTACGCTGTAACAAAGGTCTTTGTGGAGTTCTTGCGCAACCACGAGGCAAACCATGAGCTGCAGTCCCAAGGATGGTACGGGGTGGGTGTTATTTCCCCCCTCCTACGCTGAATGATGTATTGGAAGGGTAACCAGGTTAAGCAGTTGATTTTAGAGGATATAGTGTCAAATTGCCTTGGGTGCTCTTGTGATCGATGGAATCTTTGGTATTGCGCAGCTTCTTTGTACTTGTGACCACAGCCTACACGCTAATGCGCTCAGGGGTAGAAGTCGGCTTCTTCCGAAAATGCTATGCAAGGCTCCTCATTCAAAACCCAGCCACCCCTCCTAATCACACTAGTAGTGACTTGGTATTGCTTAGAGTTACAGTAATTGGCAACGAAATGTGGCACGATGTCAGAGTGAGCCGGTCAGGTGGTCGGTAGGCCTCCGCATGTCTTGGGCCTCACTGTGCCCAAACAGTTATCTTACATTAATTCTTCAGTGTTGACAGAAATATGCTTGGAATCTCTCGTGCCTACGACTTTGGCTTTATAGAACTGCAGTTTTTTTACTTGCTGGAGAATGGCCAGACGGCAGCCCGGTCTTCGGCACATTCTTGGACATGAAAGAAGTAGACCCTGACGAAATTCCTCGCAATAAACCCTTGAATTCTGATGTACGATCATTTCACTTGTATCCTTAGCGCATCCTGAAATCGGTATAGCTCAGATAATTCCCCTAAGCACCCGTTTAACAATGGTTCAACCAGGATCGGCTGTACCAGGGACTACGTGCTTTGAAAAGGAAAAGGAATGTTCTAATTATGGAAACTCACATGCGGAAATTTCCAGCGCCTATTCTGGAAGTGTCAAGGACAAGTTAAAGAAGTTTGAAGGAATGAATCGGTAAGCTCAAGTCCCGCCACTGTAGAGAACATTTCCGGAAGAAGCAAGATATGTTTCATTAGCCCCTGATGAAAATTTCGACCGAGGCTATTGTAAGTACAACAAGCACGATATAGTTTAATACTATGTAAGGAGCTTTTGCAATGGGAGCGAGGCCGTTTTTGCGCTGCAGCCAAGGAAACCCACAGCCACTTGGAAGAAGGACACTTCTCAACCAGAAAGACCAAGAAATCCGTCCACGAATTTTGGCATTGGCTTCCGAAAATAAGGTGGGCGACTCTGTCAGAGACCAGGCCTCTCGCTATCTCCTTTCCACCTGTTCTCGTCGACTCGCTAGGCTGAGCAAAACTTCAACTAAAAAATGCACTCAGCTATACTTCCCTTCAGAGCTTTTTCCCTGGCCCAAATGTTGGCACCCTTATTATTGCTGCCGGTTGCGTACATACGGTCTGGATGAAAGAGGTGCTATGTGTTTATGCTACCGCTTAGGTACGCGAACTTGAGAGTGTACTACGGCACCGTGAGGAGTTGATTCGTTCATTGGAAGGAACCGTCGCTCAAAAAGAATCGGAACTATCGTTTGTACTTAAAGAAAAGTTTGAACTATCAAAAGTAGTTGTCGCATCGCGTTCTGCCTCTCTGTCATGTGCTCCCTCTTATATCGGCGCACAGCGTGTTAGCTCGGCAGAAACCTCAGCAGAGAGTTTTGATGATTCTGCGGAATCCCCCGGCGGTTGCACGGCTGTGGATCCCAATGCCAAGCCTTCAAGTTTCTCATTACAGCTTACTGACCTTGGCGATGCCCACGTGGAAGAAGGGCTCTCCAAAGAGCATTTCGGCACATGTGGGCTGGCTGAGGGGAGGCAAGGGGGCCACAGTACTTCTACAGAAGGGCGTAGTTGCGAGACACCTGACGGTTCCGAAACTAAGGACTTGGAGCCGCACGATAAGGATGGCCAGAGTTCATGTAGAAAAATTCATGATTTAAAGGTGTTGCACTGGCAAGAAAATGAAGATCCTGTCCATGCAGGAGGATGCCGACTGCGACCCGCACTTCATACAGAATCTCGTTCGGATGATCTTGAAAATGCAGCTGTTTCTGAAGAGGTAGATGACAAATTTTTAACCCCATCTCATTCAAAGCAAATTATCAGTCAAGCAGAACATGCGAATCCTATAAAGCCTGATCCACACTCTGCAACTAGTACATGCACGCCAACTGCACAGAGCAGAAGTGAATCACCTTCAGCCGCGCGTTCTAAACCGCTACTTGCAGACGCATTAAAGTATTTAAGCTCAAACAGGTGGCGACTAGATTCGAAGAGCAAACGGCCAGCTGGTGCTGGTAAGCCCACGTGTGTGACGCGTTCCGAAGATAGTCTTGTAAGAGAATTAGCCGTTCAAAATGATGATTTTCCAACAGCAAAGGGCTCAAGTGCCCTTTGGCCAGATATTGAGGATACGGTTGCTAACGCTGAAGAAGATGTTGATGGTGGCATGGAAGCCTCCGACCCCGCCAGCATGCATAGTGGGACGAGAGTGAGTAAGGCCTTCCGACCTCTCAAGTTACCTGATGTCTATATCCGGATCTTGCCCGCCCTGTCGTTTCGCGGACAGTCAGTGGTAGATTTTCTTTTCGTGCTTTTCTCATGTACGCGCAGTTCCAAGCCGAGTTATTTTTCAAGGCCCTCATGGTGGGAATTTTGTGAGACCGACGAATGATGCTCACAGTATGGTCCACAGACGGCCTTTACACAAATGGTGACCAACCGACGTAATGCGGATTTTGTTTATTTGCAGGTCCAAACCCAGGCAAGGATTGATGCGGAAGCGGAGACTTCTGATGTCCTTGCCATGCACGACGGTGCGTAGTTTTAGGGGAAAGCCACGATTTGGTAGATAAAAGTGGCTGAATAGCTTCGGTTAGGAGTCGGCCTCATGAGCTGTCTGTCTTTTTCCAGGAGGAAAAGGAAGGAAGCCCCAGGCTCGATATTACAAATGTTGCACATTTTTGGTATTACCTTTATTTCCTCCGAATTGCCGCTCTTCGAAAGGCATCGGAAAACCATAACTGCCCCGACATTCTGTTTGCGTCTACGCTGCAGAACTGTCGTCCAAGATAGACGCTCTTCAGAATGCGTTTGAAGAGGTGCATTCATTCATTAACCGACCTTCGCACCTAATCCGGAGTATTAAAGTATCCCTCTCACATTAACCAGTTGGTCTGCATTTTAAACTAAAACTGTGTGTGCCTATTCATTATTTTCCTTCAGATTTGCCAGGAGCTTGACGCCGTCAGAAAAGAAAACAGAGCCCTTAACCGGTGGGTGGGAAGTGTACATAACGCTACCACATTCTAGTAAATGACCATCTTAGCATTATGTAGCATCATTGTGGTGAAAAGTGAGCAAGATTTCACAGTCATGCAAGCAACATGTAGTGCAGATGTGTTTTTCTGCATACGTCACACGAAATAGAGTCGCTCGGATCGGTCTTAGTGAGCTCCTGGATAATAGAACTTATCAGGGTACAACGCTGACCCTGATAAATGGAACATAGGGGGAAAAAGCAATGCATTCAATTGATCCACCAAGCATGAAGCTGGGAAATTCAGCTTCTTCTGCAGCCAAAGTGGAGTCTGCTGTTCCCTTAACTTATGATTCAGATTGAGTTGTCTCGATGACAAGCACAGGCATTCGTCCGCTCAATCGTCGGGGTCTGAAGTGCCACCAGCTACAGAAGGTAATATATCCTTAGCAGTATGAGTACTAATGTAGGCGCACCTAGGTGCAGTTATGGAAATACCCCAGACAAACAGGCCTTGTATTGGTGCGCTGCACTACCTATGCATATGTATTTTATAGTTTGTGACTTCTCACTAGAAAGACAGGGAAAACGCATCAAACGGTTCCTGCGTAACTCAGGAGAGACTTGCACACCTCCACTGCCATCGGCACTGAAGTGTTATATATTACCAGAGGTATGCCATGTATTTTATTCTCCAAGAGTCTGCTGCATAAAACATGAACTCCATACACAGAATGATATTTAATTTGGCTGGTGGCTTCGGATGTTAAAGCTCAGGAAGAAAACTTATGTAGAGAACAGGGTATTTCTGCTGTGACCGCCGCACTTCAGAACGGCAAGCTCCAGTGCAGAAGCCCCGAGCAGCTCAACGACTGCACAATGGAACAGTTGAAAGCAGCTATAAACAGCTTGGAACAGAAGCTCCATGAAGCACAAATGGATCGCCAAAGGCTGGAAGAAAGCAAATGTAAAACGGACGCCGCCCTTGCGGCCACACAGGAAGAGCTAAAAGAGACGAAAATGCAGCTCACCTCTCTCGAGAAGCAGTGCAAACTTTTGCAGGATATTGACAAACGTGTGAGTACACACTCTAGCCCCTAAAGTCATTTCAACCCTGAGCCGGTAAACAGCGCTTGAACTGGAATCCTAGAACAAAATACCTTCCATAGCGTATTTGTTGCGGAACTGTTTTCATGTGTGCGAATCAGACATGGCGTGCGCTAGAGATGCTAATCCTAGCTAAAGACACAGGAGATGGAATATCGGATAACAACATCTAGAGAAGAATCGCTCATCGCGCTTTTGGAGACGTGGGGTGTCTTTACCCATTAGCAATGGGGGTTGGATGCTTTGAGCAAGTGTGAGAAATTGCGCAACAAACCAGAAACTTTTGCTGGCTGGTTGTTCCGTATGAACCAGTCCAGTCGAGATCTTCGAAAGAACGGGCCTAGTCGCCTCATGGGAGGGTGTTGCATAGCATGCCCCACGAAAGCACCAGCCAATCCTGTTGATAGTAAATGCCATTGAAGCCAGAAAGACGGCTACTAGTGACCATAATATTCCTGTTCTTCTCTAGAAAAATCCAATTACTGAACAGCACATCTTAGATCTCGATACAAATACACACTCATGGCGTACTGACACCTCACAAACGCTCTGGGAATGTGCACCCACTTGCATTGTACAAAAGTGCTGTTTGAACGAGCGCTTTTGAACGGGGGTAGGAAATGGGGATATATGTATTTATATATTTATCCGAGGTACTACCTCACCTTTCACCATGAAATCCAACGCTGTAGTCCTCGCTACCGCCTGCTTGTTGGTGAGAACTGGTGCAACGGACGTCCTACAAGGGCCCGAGTTCATCGACACCCTTCTTCCTGAAATTGCACATGTATTTGGAGTGACGTCTACTCAGCACACGACACTCGAAGAAATGAACTTGTAATTCTTTAGTGTCTACTTGCATTAGATTTAGTTTGTTTCATGCATTATTTTTTAAGGCGTGCCGAAGATGTGTATGTGCTCCCCCGTGCACCGAAAGTAGAAGACTGCCTTTCCGCCCTAAACGGAATACCAATGACACAGCAGGTAGCTGGAGGAGCTTTCTTATGAATAAGTAGAGATACGCCATGAATCATTCTGTACCAGGCGAAGCCCTTTTCGGACTCGGCCAGCATGCTGGATGTGAAGCCATATGAAAGCGCCCAGCTAAAGATTGTAAACACGTTGTGATCCCTTGAGTAATCTCAGTGAACATATTCCTACACCAGGCAGAAGCCCGCGCAGCGGAACTTGCTGCTTCTGTCGCACCCGTAAATCCCTCTTGTGTTTTCCAAACCGGACAGTTAATAAGTCGGAACACGCCTATTTAAGGTCGTGTCGGTAGCTCCGAAATCCAAGTACTACAAGTCATCCATTTCTAGCATGGAGATTGCGCCGGGTGCATACCGCTCCACTTTTTACGTGATCTTTCAGGCCGTCATGTACCTCATACTAGTAAGTAGAAAGCGCAATCAGAACAGATCACTGATGGCATTTTCAAAGTGCTCTACGGTGATCAGGTCCCTGGTGCTCTCCGTGGTATTCGCTATGGGTACGACGAGTAACAGCAGTTCAAAATGGTGGCAAGAACTAGAATGAGGCGATTCAGGAGGATAACTGACGTCAAGACGATGCTTTCGAACACGGTTTTTTTTGTTTGTTATTCTGTCGGCGTTGTGATTTTTCAGAATGGTAGGATGTGACAATTGGCGTTAAATGGCTTCGTTATCAATTGCGAACCTCAGTTTTGGCTGTGAGGGCACTTTTTGCCCTTCCGCTGTCGGTGGCTTTCGGCCTCTACGCTATGCGTCACACTCTTCGTTCGATGGATTCTGTTGAGCATTTGCAAAGCACACAAGACAACCTTCCCTATTCCCAGGGAATGGGAAAGGTAGTCTGATATGGACAGTGAGCGCATTGACGTGCTAACCATTCCACTATACAGGAACCCTTGGCTTGGCTTATGTGCATCGAAATGTACTGCGTGCTGCTGGCAAATTTTTCATACCACTTTGTATCATGGTAAGTTTGCAAAGTCAGTTAATCTGTTTGCCATTTCAAACATGATTCGCTGTCTTTCGCAGCTTTGTGCCATACGTATATGGGTTGGCAGGCCTCGTGACTAGCAACATCATAGTTGCCGGATTCGTGTACCTGGCATACCTTGGGGCAGTGGCATATTTACTGTATCTGAAGATCAAGGCAGACCCTGAAAGCAGAAAGGTTCAATCACGCATTGTTACCTTTAACTGCGCTTACGTCGTTGCTTCAGGAATATCTTTCTACACTAACGTGAGAGTATAGTCCACGGCTATCCCGGAGTTACAATTCACATTCTATTCAGGTGCTTGCAGTATACCGGAACATTGGTGACTTCGTTGCCCTTGAGCCAGGTATACTAAATACGCACAAAGTAAAACTTCTCACGTCACTCACTTCTGTTGCGTAGCGGTATTTTTCACGGCTACGCGGATATTCGAGCTGAACCTGGGCACGGCTATCATGATCATTGCTCTCCTTGTCATATGGGGCGTTGGATACCATGAACAAAGTGAGAGATATTGGACAGCTGACAAAAATGATCAACAAATTCATCTGCATGCAGATCAAATGGATGAGAGAGGGAAAAATGTGTCGACTATGTCGTCTGTCTCTCTGTCCACTGAAGACGAATCCCGCAGGGCATTGGAAGAGGCGCTTAATGAGATGCAAACTGGGGTGGATATGTAGATATATGGTGTTTCAACAAGCATTCTGCCAATGTATGTCATTCATTCATGTTAGCATGCATTGCCTACTTTGTCTTTGCCCATCACGCTACGCTCTCGTACATCGAACCGTATGAAAGCAGTCCCGCAAAGAATTGGGAACTTGCTGCAAAGAGGCAATATACAATTTTTGCAATTCTATCATGCAAGGAAAATACTCTCATCACGGTTTCTTCCCCCCATCACATGCGTTGCTCTAGCGGGGAGGTACAGAACCTGCTCGACATATTAGTGGAGCAGCTTAAATGTAAATATGCTTAGGATAGTTCATACTCGTGCTGCAGGGCTTTCGAACGATGCGCCAGGATTTTGCACCTCGGAGAATAAAGAAGGCGCCTCGTTTTACCGAGGTCTCGCCGATGGGGCTTGTACAGGCAGTACCATCGCGCACGTTGCTTGGAAGAGTTAAGTGTCTGGCAAGTTGGTATCTTCATGTTTATTTCTCTGAGGCATTTACATGCGGCCCTCCTCCATTAGTGGGAACCAACGATCGCCTTCTCCCTGCTTCCTGCTTAGGAGGTTACTGGGTGCATGCTGCCTGCGGGTGAGATTGAAGATTGCAGGAAATCTGATTGAGCATAAGTGTACGTGTACTATAATGGGCTGCTGACTAGCATACACTTTTTACGTGCAAAGCTGTGTGTGTGATGTCAAAATGAGCAGAGACTAAGAGGTGTGACTTGTGCTTCTTATTCCTTCGAGTGCCAGCGCCACTGAAAAATCGCTGTCAAAGATGTCTATTGTCCGCCAAATCGTATATTTCAGAAATTTATGGCAAACGGCTCTACCTTTTCATGGCAAACCCTCAGGGCGTTCTGACTTGGAGCACGGAAATATCGACGACAATGTTGCTCTGGCATTGCTCACAAAGTGTGAACGTTACTATGCCAGCTGGAGTCCAAAGCCACCTGGAACATTTTGAGAAGGGATGGAATTCGAATCGCGAAATACCTCACTCAAAGAAGCCTGCCACCAGCGTTGGAACACCAAAGTCATGGAGGGGCTACCGAGAAATTTCATTGGCCCCTTGGCCCATGGGTCGCTTGCTGAAGGAGGCGCTACAGTGGATTCCCATTTAATAGAACTGTGCCGTCCGCATCACAAGCCTCCAAGTGCTCTCTTACCAGTAGCAACTTACAGGTTGCCCTTGCCGCCAGGCGGCGCCCAGTTCCGAACCCACCGAAAACTTTGTGATATCCACTTTGGGGCGCACGATCCCTCTGTGCTCTTGGCTTGCACGAACGATAACACTCTACTTTTTTTCGACATGAATGCTGGTGCTTTCTATTTGGAAATTCAGTTGTCTGCAGAACGTGAAGTTGCCGGAAATTCCGTGTGCGGCACCTCATGCGTTCACGTAAATCGATGCCCTGACTCCCCTTTGATTTTTTGTGGCTCCCCAGATGGAGATGTTCTTCTCTTCGATGCCCGAGTTTCAGGCCTCAACGCAAAGTTCTCTGGGCGGAGGGTGTGTCCAACACTGCGGATCCCTGCAGCGCATGACGGTCCTGTGTGTGGGATTCGTACTGGCCTGGCCCTTCATCCACACCTCTTCCTCACCGGAGGGCGTGAAGACAGGTGGATTCGCCTGTTTGACCTCCGTTTTCCATTTCACTATAGCTCTGGAAGTTCTTCGGGGCAGGATTCTATTCCTTATCCGCTGGAAGCAACGCGTTTGGGGCCAAGCGAGGACAGTGGCTTGCTACGGAGTTCGCTTATGGCCTTTGATGTTTCACCAGACGGAGCTGTACTAGCAGCTTCTGTCGTTCGATACAGTAGTGGTCAGCCCTTAGAAATGAAGAGCATTCTGGAAAGGGGCGACGGCGAGACGGTTTTGCTGAGCTTGCCCGACGGAACACGGGCTCTCAAAACCATTGCCTCGGCGGATGCATGTGCAGCAGAATACATTGAGTTTTCACCCAATGGTAAGTACATATTACAAACAGGCGGTGTCAGCTCAACACACTGCAGACTCTGTTGGCAATGCTCATGCCGCTGCAGTTGCCGGTCTCATTCAAACCAGGAAAGCTTGATCGTGGGAGTGGACACCCCTACCAAAAGTATCTATTTTTCCGTACCTGCATTTGACGGCGATGAAAAAGACCCGCAGACAATTGCAGTCCCCAGCATGCCCCTACCAAATGGGCTTAGCGTGGGGGAAATGCCGCAACGTGGGCCGCTTTCACGCCAGGATCTGCAGAATGGCCATCAGTGCACGTATCACCGCGCGCAACTTGTGAATATCGTGCAGTCAAACAGAACTGTCAGCCTGAAAAGCCCAGCAGACAGTACTATTGCTTTTACTGATGCATTTTGCATTAGTCATTGCCCCGAAAAATCCGAGCATCCCATGGACTCTCCTTTACAGGTGGGGCCTCCTAGCGCCAAGGAAATTTCGACGGGCCATTGTGGACCCTCCCTGGAATCTGTTGTGGCAGGAAACTGTGGCGTTCTCCCTCAACTGAAATTTACTCTTCATGGCCCCCAAAGCAGGCATGCTCAGACAAGCAGACATCGATTCTGGGAATATTTGTCTCACTTTCAGAGATTAACGGATGTGCAAAAAAGAGGTATTGGTGTCGCTTCCAAGAGAGCGAGAGAGCCCGCGGGTCCCCCACTGGAGCAACCAGAAACGGAACCAGCTACAAAGCAAATTCGGTGCCCTGAAGGCTTGTCCAAGGTTGGCACGTCGCCTCCTCCCTTTGGGGGTAGGGAAAACAATGTCGACTGTCATTTGCCCGAGGTCTCACACGGCTCAGGACTCCACGCCAGTGGCGCGCATCAATCAACTAAGTCGGTGTTGTTTCCACTGCTTCATCCGCAGCTTTCGCAGTTCATCGCCGCTTGTGGCCCACTACATCCGGCGTTCGTCCGTGCGGAGGGTGCCACTTTCCCGTTCACTTGCCGACTGTGGGGAGGCCTTGTCGTCGGTTTTGGGGGATCCACGGCCGATCATACCGGGCGTCGCCGGCTGTATGATGGCCTGAAGCTATGGGATTCTACTACCGGTGTTGTGCTAAGTTGGGCCGAAGGTCCTCTGGTACGTGTGAAAATCCACGCGCACTTGTCCAATTTCTGGAACTAGCGCGCCCCTTCCCTTTCCCCTTGTGAAGCGTGCATGCCACACTACACTGTAACAGTCGCGGACTGCGGCATGCTTGCTTGAAACCACTCGTCGCAGTGCTGCCAAGAATTGTGCGCTGTCTTTGTCTGCAGGCCTCGGAGGGCGCTCTCAGATGCCTGCAACCTATCCCGGACGTCAGCACTGGCCTTCTGGCCACGGGAGGATCTATTCTTTCGGCTGTCGGGAGCCCTCCAAGCCCCACTCCAGCAGAAGGGGTAACGTTTTGGTCCTTGAAACGTCGGGATGACCTCCTTGTTTCTGCTCTCAATGGGACTCTCTCTCTAGAAGTGGAATTAGAAGACAACATGTAGGGAGTCATCCTCGGCGGCTAACAAACTACCAAACAAATTAACTCGTCTGCACAATAGACGCTCGTCAATCGATTTTCCAAATGAGCTGTCGCTCGAAAACGTTACCGGAAAAATTGGTGCACAAAAGGTATAGCAAACAGCAAGTTTGCCGTCGCCCGCTCTTTAACTGAAGAGCTGGTTGAATGCAACGCGCGAACAGTTCAGAATCGTCCGGCCTCGCAGTCGGCTCCCTATTAAAATAGGCCTGTAATGATTTATAGCGGAATAATGCGAAACGTCGCCATTCCTCTGAACTGCTTGTTGGCACCACCTCCATTCAGGTAGTCCTTTAGATTGGAGGGGTCGCAGGGCAACGCAGCAAAGAAATCACACAGTCGCTAGCCCTCGAACGCGCGTTTCCTCCTGCTTTGAGGCCTGCGCTTGGCGGTCACAGTGCGCGCAGCTCTTCCGCGGGCTTACGTTTCTTGCGAAATGTGCACCGCAAGCCCTGTGAGCTGCGAAGGAGGCATCCTTGGGTACTCCGCCGGTGTAAACAGATCCACTGAGCTATAGCACTCCTAAGCTGCGTTCGCCGATGTGCCATCATCTTGCTGTTCTGCTTCATTTCCTGTGGACATTGGCTGGTGTTTAATGGGTCCCGTATGAGGTAGAGCGGCCTCCTGGTGGACTTGCTGCTGCTGAAGCTCCAGCAGTCGCGCTTCTTCCTGCAGCTCTTTGCTGCTCTTGCTGGGACATTTCTTGCTACGATCGGGCACTTGGACTTGCATTCTTGAGGCCCTCTTGGGTTTGAACCTCCGCAGATGCCGGTATAGCACCCTCTGGTAACGTTGGGAGGGCCTGTTGCTGCACTAGCGCAAGATCTATCAAACTCAACATCGCCGCAGCATCTTCTTCCGTGAACCTGAAGGCCGTCGAACACCCGCACAAAGAATACCTGAACATGCAGCACCCAGCATCGCCCCACCGCGGTTGTTCCCGCACCTCACTGAGGGGCTGTATAGTGAACCAACTCAAGCTTGTAGAATGCTTGACCGATTTTGAACTGCTGTAGTTCCTCTGCTTATGATCCGGAGCGCCAGCTCCATAAGCAAATGAGCAGCCACTGCACAGGCGCAGTGGTTGTTGCCACCTCTGGCAGCCTGCAAGATGGCTTCACCACGTGGTACGCACCAACAGAACGCTGACAGGGCCTTGAAAGCATGCAGACATTTATCTACATATATGCACACACAAATGTGCACACTAACCTGGTGGAGCAGTCCTCCAGGAACATATAGATCTCGACAGGTTTGAATGCCCCAAGGTTCACAATTGTTAGCAATTCGAGTTCTGTGAGCCCAAATCGATGAACCAGGGCATCAAGGCATTCACGAAAACGCCGGCTGATTGATGGGGATAGTGCCCCATGTCGAATTGCAGTGATCCCAGTGGGACGCTTGCCTCCAGTAGCGCACCCGAACGCCCGTCGTGTAGCATGGCGCACGCCTTGCTGAATCCTTAATCGATCTGTTGAGTGGCGAAAATCAGAAGGGACGCGCACAAGGTGCAGATAAGGACAGGTTTTGCGAATATAGTCCTGAACCAGTTGATTGAACATGTGTTGGTAGAGTAATTCCTTGACATGATCCAACCTGAAGCGCTCGACGGGGGACTCGGTCTGCCCAAAGCTTCCATCTTCACGGTCACCGTTGTTGCGGGGATCTGCTTTGGAGTTTTCGCTAGGGGAGAAGCTGCCCGAAGTTGTTGAACTGGGTTTGCTTGCACAGCGAAGTAAACTGTCAACCGAGGGTAGTAGTTGTTGCTGCTGCACTAGGAGTAGCATTACCTCCATGTTTGTGATAATATCGCAGCGCTCCTCCGAAACCTTCATTTCGGAAACTCAAGGACTAAAATGACGTCGTTATGCGCAACGGGAAGCACTGGCCGTTCACATCATCAGCATTTTGTCTGCAGTTAAGAATCATGGAGAATGCGAAAGGAAAATGAAGCCTTGGATGTAATGGAAAGGCCTAAAAGTACTTTCTCAAGGAAGAAGCGACATGGGATGAGCGCCCACTCAACCTTGTTACTGACCCACGGAAAGCACGAAGCACAAATACGCCACGTACCCACTTCCTTAGAGACTCACCACGAGCACACACGGCCAAAAAGACATCAATTCAACCAGGGCTTTGCATATGAGTACCACAGAAGAATCGCGACCAAATTTAGAGCCCAAAGGAGATATGAACAGAGGGTAAAAGCGTTGGAATAGCGAGAGTTTCAACGCACGCTACGCTATCATGACGCTATTTCTGTAGCTGATGCAGGAGCACTGGGAACAAATCGCTTCAAAGAACAGCCTTAAAAATGCAGCAATCGCAGAACTGTCGTGTTTAAAAGGCCTGGCCCTATTTTGGCCGCGTTGTGCATGCGCTGCCAGTCCCAAAGCATTTTTGAATGATTTCAACGACCGAACTGACCGAATCAAGTGTTATCGTTTTCCCCTAAGTTGGTTTTTGATGTACGCCAGTCGTGGTGAGGGATGGTAAATTTCGGCCTTCCACCATCGAGGTACAGCTAGGGGGAACCGCCATCTACTCCGCGGGGCTTAATGCTCCCTTTCTTTTGAGCAGCTGCGCCGCGTGTATCAACTAATTACCCCGCGTCGGTAGCTCAGGCCATTTTGCTGTTGTTTGGGGTAGTGCATGCTGCTCCGGCGTATGCTGTGCGTCGGTCCGGGACGCTTGTGTATACCCGGTCAAGCATGTGTCTTCATACACGCCACCGTATTCTTGGTAAGAAACGTTTCTTCATTTTTCCCCATATGACCAGAAAATGGATCAAGTGGACATGTTCTTTACCCACGTCCCTCCGGTGACCCGGGTGTGCCTTATAGCTTCCACTGTGCTAATGGCGCTGTGCACGCTTGAAATTATATCTCCCTTTTCCTTATACATGAACTGGCAGCTCGTCTTTACGCATGGACAAGTGTGGCGCCTAATCACTTGCTTTCTTTTCTTCGGAACGTTTTCACTCCACTTTTTCTGGAATGTTTACGTCCTTATTTTCTACTGCTCAACACTAGAGGAGCATCGTCGCAGCGCAACGTTCCTTTGGATGCTGATATGCACTGGGAGCCTCCTTCTGGTATGTCTGTGGGAGGCGCTTTCCCGCTGAAAAAGAGTGCGGCTGTCGACTGTGGGCTAACCCCTGCATTCAGCTTTTAGTGGTTTTCTCTTAGCTGAAGTAACTTCTTGCAAATGCGTATTATTACCCGTTCTGTTTCTTTTTGTGTGCGCAGGCATTTTCCTACATCTTTGGAGTAAGCTCATACTTCTTCAGCGGCTCGATGATCAACGTCGTAACGTACATTTGGGGTCGCCGTAATCCAAGCACACGCCTTTCAATTTTCTTCATGCCTGTGCAAGCCCCCTACCTTCCATTTCTGCTCGCATTACTGTCTCTTTTGGTGGGGTGGAACATGGCAGATCATCTGGTGGGCATTGCTGTAGGCCACTTTTACTATTTTTTCGAAGACGTGTATCCCCTTTTGCCCACGAGCAAAGGCTTCCGCATTTTCCGCACGCCGCGTCCCTTAATGTGGCTTCTGAAGCAGTCCGAGAATTAGAGTCGCACACTTTCTTCTTTGCGCGGCTCATCGGCATTTGAGCTTGGAGACCCGACTCGTTCGTTAGCTGCTGCGTTTGGACTTGCTGCAAGTGGCTTGAGGGGCATTTCACGAGCCGCTTCTTGGTGCCGGCGTAAGCGGGAGCAAGTAGAAGTGCTACCCCCGTGACTTGTACGTTAGTAAGAGCTTATTAACTCAAGGCTGACAGCGATACGAATACTTCTTGGCTTGCCGAACAGCGGTGCGTGAGCATCGCAGTCTAAAATCAAGCTCTTGTATCATCGAGAAAGGCTATCTGTATTCCTCTTGCTAGTGTACTCATCCCCAAAGTTTTTCCTCGAAAGCTGATAAGGGCATCACGACTTTCGAATACGCCGCTCCGAAGGAACTTGTGTATGGTGTCCTTCTAGCGCATACAATTGAAGTCGTGGCACCCTATCCAACAAGGCATGCCGAACGTGCTGCTAGCCAACACAGGCCGTCTTGCTTTTCTGCTTCTTCACAGCTGTACGTGCAGCTGCAACAGGCCGTAGTACAGTATATAGAAACTGGAAAAACCGAAGCACCGCCTGCTCATAGAGCACTTCATCATGAATACTGGATTGTCCAGAGGAAAATGTTACCCCGTTGGCTGGGGGCCCTCCTTAGCCTGATGTCCTTAAACGCCACAACTGACCTAGAAGAAAACACTGTAAGGCCTAATACTGCATGCACTGTCATTTTTCAAATGCCTCCCTTGTTGCCTTTTGTGTATTTTTGAGGGCACAGAGCCCGCCTTTGCTCCCTGCCGCCCGCTTTGGTTCTGCGGCACCCGCGAAGGGCAATGTGGTGACGGCACCCGCGAAGGGCAATGTGGTGAGACATTGGACATAGGAGCCTCAGGGAAAATCTAGACAGTTCAGATTTTGTGAATACGGTATCTGTGGTTTCTGACAGCTGCACAAGATTCGAGATGCATACAAATCTCGATTGCAAATACACAGGTGCTCTCTAGCTTTCTTTGAAGGGCGTGGTGGGTGCCTTTAGTTCGCGCTTCCCGTTGTGGTACTCTACTCACAAACGACATGAATAACTGCGTATTGCTACCCAAGTAGCTTATTGACTGTGATAAAACTCATTCATATGCCACAATCTTTGTGTATTGCCTTCACGCAGAGAACAGACACTGTAGTATGGCCACACAGTCCTTTGCGCTTCCCGCTAGTCCACACAGAAACTGACAGGCTAACAACTTCAAATGAGTCAATAAGAAACAGGCCCTTATACTCTTCGTGTTCCGCTTCATTGCAGTTCTCCGCCTGACGACCCTCCACTTCAGACTTATTCAAGTGTAAGAGAAAGTTGAGTGTTTTCCTGAAGACCTTCCTCCCTCTTTTGCCCGCTCCCCTCAGAGTTCCTGACCTGACGGGAGAGATACAGTTACGGTGGGCGTATCTGCAGATTCCATGCATTCACAACTAGTTGCACATACCAGTTGGAGCAAACGCATATAATGCCTTATTTTACGTCACACTAGCAGTATTGTGCAGTAGATGAGATGTGCGTGCGAAAAGGCCAGTAGTCGGCTTTTAGCTATTTGTTTTGTATAACAAGTGTATTAGGAGGCATGTACGTGCGACCTATTTCGATACTTCATTCCTCTCTTATTTCAAACCACATACTCCCGTCTTCCGCACACGTATGTTGAGACCAACTACGTGTGGGACAGCGAGAGATCCCGGCCTAGCGCCACACTGCACGCGGGCAGAAACACGGAAATTAGTGCATTCAGGAAGTATGAATTTCGACGTCAATCACTAATGAAAAAGAGAGACACAGACTAGCAAACAGCAGGCGAGGGACCAAATCAGTACGAACGCGAATGCGCGATGGTTCGCTGCTATCGGAGCACTGAAATGTGCGAGCCTCCTCAAACGAATAAAAGAGCATATAAGTAAAGTTTGTACGAAAAATCAAATGCACTGAAGTTCAACGTTGTAGGGCAATATGTGCATGCCAATATAACGGGTGTATACAGCACGGTCGGCATCAAAGCCTACAGAGGTATTTTGGAAGAATGTCCAGTCAACGTATCTGCTGGTGCCTGCACTTAAATGTAGGCGCACAGAGCATCTTAACAGCAAGAGCCGAAAAACCAAGCAAATTTCTAGGATTGAGGCACCTGTTTTAGGTGGAACTTGCGCGGAAGGAGAAATGTCAAGGAATGCGAAGGGCGCCATCCATGGCGATTAGCGTTGTTCACCAAGTGAAGCCACAGAGTCTCCTGCAGTTAATGAATTTTGCAACCATTCCGTTGGCAGCGAGATGAAGGTTGTCATTACCCATTATATTTTACAAGTAGCTCCCGTCTAGTGTGTCATGGGCGCCCAATAGGCCCCCTCAGATCCTGCGCTTCTACACAGGTCACTTGGCTATGAGGTGGATTCAGCGAAATACTTGGTGAGTTTTGAAGCTCATTTTGCGAGCTAATACTGATAGTTCCATCACCCTAAACATTTACGGAATTCGCTGGAGTAAGAACGAGAACTAATTTGTGGAAGGATAGTAAAGGACCTTTGCCACCTGGCCGCATACTTTTATGCCATATTACCTTCTGGCGCCCTTCAAAAAACGTGCATATACACCAGGGCCATATCCCCAGGCTCGAAATACACTGGACCGCCGCTTATCGTAAGTTCATACTTGTCTCCTAGAGTTTTCGCCGAGAAGTCCGCGTCCACTGGCCAGCTGTATTGTGAATCTCTTTGCGGCTAAGAGTGGCTGCTTGCCGCGGATTACCGGGTCCAGCCTTGGAGGGGTATGGGGTTCCCTACTGTAGACCAGAGATATGCGAGAGCAACTGATTGATGAGAGAGGTGTGAAATTATAAAACGACCCAGCACATAAAAGAGAATGCAGCTAAGCAAATGGAATTTTTGTCAGCACAAACTCTCAAGTACTGCAGAAGTGTGCGGTTGGTGCTCTCTATTGATCCAACTGACTCATGGCCGCTCGCATTGATCCTATTATGGTCAATATGTAGGCAGGTAAGAAAGGCATACTACAGCGCACTAACGATATTTGAGCCGCTATCATAATGATAAACCTGGAACATCCGGAGCTGTGGCAGAAGTGTAGCAAGGGAGGAAATGGGCATATTTGCTGAATCTGTTGAAAATACGTATATATTATCCTGGCACCCACTCTCATCATGTGCAAGAATAAAGTCCACAGTCAGATTAGTTCATATTCTTCCAAGGACCATATGGTGTACAACGCTGGGATTCGGTAGAATCAAGTGGCTCCTCTGCTGTCACTCTGGGCATGACATTTTATCATCCTTAGCCGCGGGAGCGTGAAAAGCCACCATAAGCACCGTGGGAGCTTTCCAACTGTAGTGTGAATGCCAATCTGGCCAGCAAGGACATGACAATATATTTTGCACAAACCAGGGCAGCGGATCAACGTCAGAATGTGCAAACGACGAATATCCCGCCTAGCTGTGAGCCACAGCAGTTCATTCTCAATGTGGTAGTGCTTCACCTTCGGCCATTCTGAGCTTTGGCAATGATAGCGCATGCATGGGTATCAAAACCATGAGACCCACGCAGCTTCGCCGTAAATGATCAGTTACAAGAGCGGCAGCACTGCGTAATAGTGAAGCGCTGGGGAGCCACCAAAGGCCGCTGGTGGCCACGCTGATATTCATTGATGCACTTAGCTCTCAAGTCGTACTGCGGGAGCTAACTAGGCCAGAGAACAAGCCTTGAATTTCCCAGGTCCCGAAAACGCTTTCCATGTACAGTCAAATGGATCCCGGTAGTGCCTGCATTTTCACACCCCACCACAACGCGTAGAGCTTCTTTAATGCTGTGGGTACCGTTGCCAATTTCCATTAGGCAAGAATAAGGACAACAATATTTTCATGTGTGTGTGAGCTTGTACCCTGCAGAGAGAGAATAGCAATCACCCCTTCATTAAAATCGTCGGTAGTTCGGAATAATTGATGTTCACGTTGGGACAGCGCACAAACTGGGAATCGTGGAGAGCAGCGTATCAGCGTCCATGCCGCCGCACTATCTTCTTTCGCTTGACTCCCAGACTGCATTTTCTTACTTCGGTTCAAAGGAAAAGCCGTCGGACTAAACCTAGAAATGAACTGTTGGTAATAAGACGCAAGCACGTAGAACTTCGCAACATCTTCGCGCATGTCTGAAGAAGAAGCCATTCATTTACTAATACAATCACTTTCAGATTTGGATTAACCCCGGTAGCAGAGAGATGGTATGCTGAAACCCCGGCTATTCAAGGGAGTGTCCCTTTGCGTTGCTTCACTTACCCGTGTTTGCTACGTACCAGTTGAAGCACCTATTGTAGGTGCTGCAGGTGCTCTTGGACGCTTCAGTTGAAGTCTATGGCGTCATCCATGCGTATTTGCAAACAATGCTCCACCACAGGCTCACAAACATTCTTGGCGGCCCGTTGTTGCAGTTCAGCTGGGGCATTAGCAAGTCCAAGCGGCATACTGGTGTACTAGAGTTTGCACGTGCAAGTGTGAAATGCCGCTCTGTGCACGCTTTCAGTGTAAATGAGGATTCGTAACGAGGGCACCTGTGAAGTAAGATGACGGGTAGAATGGTCATTCGAATAGTACCTTAGCCAAATCGAGACCAACAGAAGCAGGATGTGTAGAGGAATTCGGAACACCCACTAGGTTGGCTCTTCAATATCGGGCATCAGGAGCTTTGGTTTTACAGTGATGTTGTTCAAAGGACTTAAATTTACGCATATTTGCTGCCATCGGTCAATTTCCAGCACCAAATAGGGCCAGACCCAAAGGCGCTCCTCGGTTCCTGCATTTTTTTGGTTTTTAAAAGATCAACAGCCAGGGTTCATTCTATGGGATCCTCCGATCCCGCGGAACACTGCTTGAGGCGGACCCAAGAATGAGCTCAATGTGTCGCCCTGGATAACTAGTAGGTGGCCAGCTTGCCAGCGGCTGGTGATTACTTATCACCTCCCCATATTCCTGCCTGCTAGATGCTATTCTTTCTGTTTCTAAGATCGCCCTTCAAACGGTTCCCCGATAAAGAAGCAGATGCAAAGACAAATGAATTGTATGCACAAAAGTGTTTTCTTGCTGTGCGGCTGAGCCGCCGGCATTGGGACTTTTTTTCACCTTGTTGAAGCACAGACTCTAGCCTGCTCTCGATTGAAGAAATGGTCGTTGTTCAGGAGACCGTGACGTGCTCAGTGCGCTTCTTGGCACACTAGGTTTTACAGCGCGCAGTTGTGTCTGCATGCGTGCCTTCCTTTAGGTACCCAATGACGTACCTAAGTGTATGTTACGGTGTACGGCTCCAACCTTTAATTCACGCTCGATGCTGCTAGGACCCAGTTTCAGTTTAAGTAAATTTACCTGCTGTAGCCTGGCCAGTTCTTCTGTTCAGTCGTCCGTGAGCAGGCTTTAGTCTTCAGGACTGTGCTACCTATTGAACAGAGAGATTCTACCTGTGCGTGCCTCGTCGGATGACAGCCGCTTCACCTCCTGTGTCAACCAAAGCTTCCAACTTTTTGATCATCAATGTGAGCTTGCATCGGTGCGAAAGTTGCCCGCCTGGCCTTAGCTGTGGCTCTGCCACATCTAGCCCCCATCGCTGCATTGCAGCCCGCGTGGGACTTTCCTGTTGCGCCTTCTGTGCCCGGCAAGCAGCGTGCTTCCGCTACACCTGCTCCCGTTGCTCAAGCGTATACACTTTTGCATGATCTTACAGTACCGCATTATATGACCCAAGTTCCCACAATAAAAGCAGGTGCGTCATTGGGGGCTGTCTTGGACTGCTTCGGAAGGTGGGTTCCTTCCGGCCTTCTGGTATTATTTAACGAAAACATTGAGGCAGGGCTAGTTGACACAGCCCCAACATCTGTAGGTTCTATGTACAAATTGAGTTCTTCAGTCAAGGATCGTAGGAGTGAAGCATATTTTCTCCTGAAATCTCAAGGAGTTCCTTATTCGGGGAACCTCTAACGGTCTGTTGTAAATCACTGAGTCGCTATTCATCCAACGACCACCTTACGCGGCACTTCGGCTAGGCCCAGTATAAAGTACCAATGAAAAGCAATTTTTTCACGGTGTGGCTTTTGCAAACCAAAGTTTCATATTTCTCGAAATACCGATTCACTGATAGACTAGACTGCTGAAACTTCCTTGATTCCTGAAAGCTGCTGAGCCGATTTTGCCTCAAGTCTATGAATTATAGAGTCTATGAAGGCTTAAAGTGCAGTGATTTCTGGATGCACACACCGTCCTCTACATAGGTAAAGCCACCATTGAAGTGCTTCGCCTTCCAACAAGGAAATCGCGAGGAGCACTCGTTTCTCTTCGTTTGTGAAGTACAAAGCAAGATGCAGCTCAAACCAGCTGATTAAGCCTTCAAGTTGTTTCCCAGCCTATTGACCGCCATAAGTTGCTGCTTCGTGTAGCCTGAACAACACATCCATACACATTTAATCAGCGGACGAATCATGCTTTCCTATTCGCTGTGGAGGCAGTAAGCTGACATGAGCCTGCAGGCTGGCCTGTGCCATCCGGAGAGATGTTGTACCGTCATGAAATTTTATTGCCAGAGTCTTTTTCACGGCAGCCGCTTGCTGAAGAAAGGCAAATTTTCGGCTACTGAATCACTTGCCGAAACTAGGAAACTACTGTAGGCAATTCTGACGTCCACAGTCAGGAAAAGAGCGGAATAAAGCTACATCAAATCATGCGGCGTTGCCAAGTGTAACGCTCCAGCTAGGTTTTCTGTAAGGAAACCTCGAAGTCCAGACTCAATATAAATTGTGTAGAAAGCTATGAAGTGTTTTCCAAAAGAGCTCCCAGCTTTTCCCGCCCGCCCCCCCTCAGAGTTGCTGACATGAGGAAAAAGAGACAGGTAATGCGCGTAGCTGCACTGTCTAATCACTCAGAGCATTCACAGCCCGTCGCACATACATACACATAGTTCAAACGCAGACAAAGTGTTTTTGTATCGAGCTATTAGTACTCGGCAGTAAAAAGGCTACACGAACGGACAAACCATTGAACCAGTAATCTACTAATTCATAACCAATTATAACTAGGGTAGAGGAGTGTGCTTCATCGTAGCTTAACCAGCTTCAGTTTCCTTATGTTGGGAGGCCTAATGTTCTGACGTTGCTACCACCATTCTTCGCTGGATTCTCCAACGCAAAGCGCCATAACGGAGTTTTCAAGAGCCTTTCAGTAGCATAATGCACTAAAATATTTTGAAATTCAGTGTGTTTCACCTTCGCTTCTCTGCATAAGAGGAGGAACAATATGACTAAATCTGACCTATGGTGGAACCCTACAACGCCGGAATACAGCAGCATTTCCAATTCGTAGCCCTTATTATTGAATGATTTACTTCGGTTTCAATCAACTCTTTTAGGGTTAGCCCTCTATGCAGTGCTAGCGTGTGGCTGAGCTAATTATTCGACGTGCATATGATGTCTACAGTGGTCCGGCCTTCTGGGGTGACACACATTGCATAGAACCTAGGTCGTCATTTATTATAATAATGTCATAAAAGTTTGTGTGTTTCCGAAAAGGCGAAGTTTTCAATGCATCCATTCTGGTATGTGGACTGGTTATTCGAGCGGTGGTGGGGTGGAGAGGGGATGCCAATGAGATCTCTGACAGTAAGAAGGGAGCTTAGTGAAATAAGCACTTCATACCCATCGCATGTATTGTTTTTACAGCTAGAGTGCGAAAATGGCGGCTCAAGAGTCCGGATTCACTCGGCTATCTGACGACCACATGGCAGGAGTAATTCGACATTCAGACGAATGGGGATTCATTGAATACTTGCTCCAAATGGAGGCTAGGACTTCACGCATTAAGCTCCTTCAGGCGTGGCATTTGCCGTCCTCACTGCTTGTGACCCAATTTGAGAAGCGCACAGCAGTAAGTGACACACAAGGTAGCATGCGAGACTATTGCTTGTAAGCTGGGGTGAAACTGTGACCTAGCTTTCCTATCTCATATACGCCAAAAACGCCTCGCTACCACTGTACAAAATCAATTTTCACCATGCGAATGCGCCTGGTCAACTCGCTTGTCGACTCTTCTTTGCTTGACGAAGACAACCACTATCTAGACACAACTAGAAATGTCTAGCGTTTCTCCCAGCGAAAAAATGACAGCTTCACAGGCCGTTCCCTTCTATTCAGCGAAGGCTCGTGGTGTACTCCTTTGTCGACTCCTCCATGCTTGACGAAGACAATTCCATCCAAGACGTTGCCAGACGCGGCTTCAAAATTGGCCCGCGTGGTATGAAATTCGTTCTCGGAAACTTCAGGTGCGTGTCAAAGCAAATATTACACATTCAAACATGCTATTCCTTAACCTTATACTTCTGAGCTGTCATGAAATATGTAGTTTCTTCTCATTTTTCGTTTCGCCAACCCGGTCCCCTGTGGATGTGTTCCCGCGTGCGCACATTTCTTCAGCTTGCAGGGGATTCCTTTGCTGCGAGGAGGGCTAGAGGGAGCCCCAGATCCTTTTGCACTTCCATCTTGTGAGCAGTTCTTATCCAAATGTTTGGAGAATGATACCTCAGTACGAAAACTCGTTAGGCAGTAGTTTTTTCTGAAACCTACTACGTTTATCGGGCCTTATTTGGCCTCGCACCCTTACTTAACTGTTAGTTCCAAAATTGTACTACGTACATGTAGGGCATGCGTGTGCACATCTACTCAATTGGGCGCAGCCGAGCAACTCTCCAGCGCGGCAGAAAGAAGGAAAAATGAACGATTAGAGTTCATGGAAGCTGCAAGAACGCAGCTGCTCAGCGGAGAACGGCGAGTCTATGAATTCTTTCTATGTAAAGTTGGTGAGCTGGCACGAGTGTGCATTATGAGAGGGGGCGCTTCTGGCTGTTTCCATAGCCGAGTTTGTGTGTCAAACTTCAAACTTCAAGCCAGTTTTATGCCCAACCTGTTACCCTTCCGTGTGCCTTGGCGAGGCAAAGAGTGTGGCGTTAAGCAGTTGGTTGGATGCCACGTAGCACGCTTTTTTTGTTTGCCATTTGCTCTTTGAGTGCAGGTGTGGGACATTCAGTGGTAATGTCTGATGAAAGGGAAGCTTCGGGAGAGCGGACCACGCTTCCACCAGAATATGACAGTGCATATTTGCAAAAGGGAGATGCAGCGCCTACCGAGACGCTTACTGTCTTTTTCGAGAGTCCTGAACAGTACTTGGCTGAAGGCGTATCCAGCATTCGGAAGCCAGAAGCTGTTCGGCAGAACAGCAGGGGGTTGTCTATGGCTACAGCGGGCGTGCTTCCTCAGTATACATTTCGTCAGGAGTACGTTGTTTACGACTCCTCGCAAGTAAGACTCCTTACCGGGTGTCCAGTGGCAGCAACTCGTCAAAGCGGGTTGCTCGGGGGTCCGTTTTCTCAAGCCCGCTTTGGTGTGCTACTGACACTAATCACACAGGCTTCGAGCTTCGTTCTGTGCTCTTTTAATGATTGTAGGTTGTGCCGAATTACCTGGTCATTTTTGAAGTGGACCCAACGGAGCCTGAGCTGTTTGCCGTGCCCCTCTGTGACAATTGCCAAGACTTTCCGGCTGCAATATGGTGCCCTGCGGACACAGCCAAGTAGGCGTGCACTCTGCGCCGTATCATTTGATGAAGCGAGTCTTTTTGCATTTTAGCGGCCAAGGAATGATTCGTTAATCTTTTGCACTATGTTGGCAATGACAGGCTGTGTGAGGGCTGCGACGAGCGGCTACACACCACCAACCAGCTCGTTTCACGGCACATCAGAGTTCCTTTAAATGAGGTGAGCCACAAACAGGCTTGACCGAGTCGTAGGCCCATGTGCTGATTAGCTGCTGCTGAGCCTAGGCCCCAGAAAGGCGAATGGGGTTTTATTACTTCCTGTATTTGCTGTCTTCTCAGATGCCCAAGCTAAGCGGACGTTGCAAACAGCATATGAACGAAACCTGCGAGGCTTTTTGCACAATGTGTCATGCCCCTGTTTGCCGTTTGTGTCGTCCAAATCATTTGCACATCCAGGACGCTGGTCGGAGCTCAAGCAAAAAGAAGAGAGGTAAAGTGCTGCACCCGAAACGACGCAATGGGACTGCGCTGCTCGTTTGGTCCTTCGGACTTAGTGCATATTCTAGAGCCATATGTGCCAGGCCCTATTTATGCTGCACGCAGCCACAGGCACCTTAGTGCCCCTCTCTCGCGCGTATTCTGGCACTCTGGAAAGGCGGAGAAGGCCACATTTTTTTTTGGAAATGCGCAGGAAGGAGCTGAATGCAAGGCTGGACGCAGTTCAGAAGCTGATTGAGTGGGCTGGTGTCCACCGTAGTATGCTTTTAGCCTCTGCTTTCTATGCCGTTCACAGGGCTCTAATTTATTTATTATGCCCACACGATTGAGTCGACTGTGTGCCACACTCTTATTAGTAAATTCATACTGTGGCTAAGAAGCGCACCATGTCGGGCTGTACTATTGTTATCTGCTGCAAGCAGCGGTGGGAGGCGGAACTGCCGTTCTATTGAGCAGCGATGCTACGCTATTCTGGAGGAGGCGATGAATCAATTGCGAGTAAGCTGCAGCAATTTGTGAAAGTAAGCAGGCTTCTATCTACGGAGAATTCATCAGCCTAACTGGAGCGTTGACTCATTTTCACGTTTGTAACAACATATTGAAGTGCAGATGATCTGTCTTGACTAACGTATAAATAATGCACGAAAGCTGTTTGAATATGGATTCTTTTATTCAGTCATGTACGGAGGACAAAATGGGTGTAGTCTTGTGTCAGCAATTCGAGCTCCAGAGGCAGATGGACATGATAGAATGGGGGGAGAGCTTCTTGCGGCTCCAGCGCTCGATTTTGCCGCCTGCTGACTACTTGGCTGCCTGGTATGTTTGAATCGGCCTTGTTAATAATCAAGCGCTATTTTAATCAGAGAATTTGTGATTTGCTATATGTAGCTGAGTCGAAAGGAGCTGCTGTTCCCTTCACGTTTAATCGTGGGCATTCAGGCTTCGACACTGCCGCTTACGAGATGAAATGGAATCCTTGGCTGGAGATGTGTCAGACCTTTCACAGATGGCTGTGGTAAGTGCTGTATCTATGCTCGTGCAACTATTGATACCAACCAGGACTGCTTTACATGCGCTTATATGACCAAAGTGTTGCCGGACTTAATACGTAGGGTTTTTGCTTGAGCTTTTGTATGCGGATGCATGCAGCCGAATATGCGTTTGGATGGCACCGTTGAATTTCTCACGGACACAATGCTAAGGCACAGGGAAAGGCATCGATTGCAAGGCAAGAAGGACTGAGACAGCGTGCGAAAGCTGTTCTACCATCATGCTTTTGCTGCTCTCTTTTCCTTGAGTTTAAAAAAATCATTAGTGCTAGAATGTTAAGCGTTCTATTGCTGCATGTCGCTCTTTGGGTCAGGGCGAATCGCTTGGGCACAGGAACAGCGAAACTTCGAGAGCCTTGTGCACCTTCCTGAACCGAGTGATGACGTATAAGTACAGGTTCTTTTTATTGCAAAAAAACAGAAAGTTCTTGAAGCGTGGAACTCTGTAACACTCGCTAGACTAGTTACTACACACAATGCGAGGTCCGTCAAAGATTAGTAAAGGAATTGACAATGTGTTGCACTACTGTCGCACTAAGTAGGTGACCATTCCTTTTAATCTACCGACGAGTAAATGTGTCTACTTCAGAAACGCAGGCACTGCTGTGCCCGAGCACATATACTAGCGTAGAAAGCAGCCATGTTCAAGCGCAATGAATCATTACGAACTGTCATGAGCACAACGCTCAGAGCAGGCCGCTTGAGTCCGTCTTCAAGTATTCTTGTGAATGTGCTCCCCCTAAAGATTTCTTCGTCAAGTTCCCATCCACGGGATGATTTGCGAGCTGCCAAAAGCAAAGTAGCACAATTGCAACAATTACATTTCGATTTCTTCGCTGATGAATGAATACAAAAAGATGCAAAATTGTGGTATTCACAAGCTTACCTTGGAGAATAGTACGAAGGGAGTTTATTGCATGATTTGTCAGATGGATTGATGCAACGGCATCTTGAAGGTGCCCAATCTGTGGAACTTCATACGTGGTAGGCGTTGCATCAAAGGGCGGCTTCAGTGCAGGGTTCGCTGAAGCAGCAACTAAGCCGAAAGCCATCTTTCCCGTCTGTTGCTTTCCCAGAGTGTGGTCAAGGACCTGAGTGAAGAGCAATGAGGAACATTAATAATAAGTCCTGCAGCTCTTTCATCTAATCCTTGCGTAGGACGAGGCCTTTCAGCAATCAACTTTTACATTAACCTAGTACCTCGAAAGCGGCAGTAAAAATCACGTGAGATTTTCGTCCTGCAGCGTTTCGTCTCTCCATAGCCCCTCGTAGCTCTGCGATTATTTCATCCACCATGGTGCTTTGTTCAGGTGCCGTTTCGACTGTATCCGCAGTAACTTCACCACCGACTCGCCGCAGGTTCGTTACACGTACCTCTCCTGAAAACGGCCGTAATCCATAGATATACCATACACTCATTTTCCTCAACCTCCTCATGTTGTCCCTTGCATTTAAGGTATTTGAAAGTGTAATTTCATATAACGCTCCTGACAAGCGTAGGCTTTACCGGTTCTGGCATTTTTAACAACTTCAGGCCGTTCTCTGCCCTTTGCAGGCAGAGGCTCGAAAGCATCCAGCAAGGTTTCGTTGTAGACCTCGACACACGTGCAGCTCAGCGTGGCTTTAACACTTCCTTTTTGAGGCGCCATATTGCATCGCTTTCTAAGCAACTCGTAAAAGTGTAAGAGGTATTGGACCACCAGCCCAGCTTCCCCTGAATTCTTTTCAGCACCCTCGTCGTTCCAAGCTTTGGCTGGACGAAAAAAAAGTGTTGTTGCCTTTCCAGACATAGGCGGTCCGACGACTATAATGGTTCTATGAAAGCCAGAGCGCATCACACAATGCAATATACTCCTAGGTGAGGGAGGAATCATAAGGCTTTTCAGGTTCAATGGCCACCGGTGGGCTGCTGATTTGCAACGTAACTTTTACCTCCTTTGGCTGCTACCAGCATCAGCTGCGTGCTGCCTTGAAAATGGCAATAAAGGCAAGGCATATTACTTTTGAATCACCATTAAAAGCTCACAGCGCATTCCCAGACAGCACAGCAGCTGTAAGCTCCTTCATGTCTTTGTATATATCACTGGTGGAACAGTGTTCGTCATAGACCCGATCAAACTCGAACGAAGAGACTTGTGGATGTGCTAAAGTCAAGCGACTTTTTGTTTGACGCTTTGATGCCGGACAGCTCTTTAGGTGCAAAGTTGTGACACCCTGAGATGTAACATAGCTAGGCTTCGAAGTCACAGACGAGTAAGAATCTGCCGGAGAATCCACGCCTGGAAGGATTCTGCAGAACACGCGGTGTCTGCCTTTGACCCTGACGATTTCGCTTATATGGCGTTGATTCGCTTCACTCAAATCGCGTATCAGTGCTTGCTGGGCCGTCACCATCTCTGAGAGCTGCTGAATCTCCTTTATCAGTTTTTGGTTTTGCAACTCAAGAGTCGCTGTCTGAGGCACATTTATTTGCAGCACCCATTGCATGCATGGGTATTCAACATGGCAGCTACAGTGCTATTATAATTTGTTGCAACACAAAGGATAATGGCTACTCCAACTGGCTTACCACATGCGAATCGGAACTGTGAGCCTCTATACTTTCCCCTTGAGGGATATGCTGCTGCTTCAGTACTTCACACGCCTTGGTGGTCGTTTTTAAGACGGCACCCAGTTGATGCTGGCAGCAGCCAAAGGAAGTAACATGGTTGCATTGGGAATCAGTATCCGCTCACCGGACATCGAAAGTTTGTGGAAGACCACAGTGAGGCACAAGTTTCCTGATGGACTGTTGCATGTTAAAGTGTCTCCTAATGGGAATGCAAACTACGACAGACGTGCGCCTTACTATTTTAAGAAGAAGTGCATTGCTTTTATTTCTGCCTTCTACTGCAGTGCTATTGTTGGCAGGCCGGTCACTAGCACACTGATCTACACTGTGGAGTATCTGCGAAGTAGGAAGACAGCATCGCATTTAATGTACAAGCCAATTGAAGCCGCTGAAGCCAATACATGATGGTAAGTCATCGGTTAGTCTAGATCAAATTGTTGCGATGGCCTTACCATTGAGAGTTGCTGAAGATGTGAATAAACCTCATTGAGCCTAGCGACTTGATTTGTTAGATGACGGAAACCAACAAATTGGGGTCTTCTTAGCCTGTCAGTCGCCTGATTACTGTGCTCCTGATCAGCATTAGAGACAGCGTAGGCCATGTATACTGTATATGCAGTAGCATTTTATGTCTGCAGGCACCACATTTACGCATAGTTCTGCCGTCCACCACTAAACGTCTTTTAACGGAGTTCACCTCGATGGTGTTGGCTGCCAGCAACGACTGGAGAGGCCTTAGACCCAAGGAGGAAAGCCGAGGAGAAACCTGGTGCTGCAGCCTTTCCAGCGCTCTCTCTAAATTTCGGTACTTCTCATATTGGTGGGGAATCTCCTTAAGTGCCTGCTCTTCTGATGCTTCCCGCCCGTGGGAGCACCGGTGACGAGCCATCCATGCCTTTACTGCTCGTGCAGCTTCCTGAAAATCGGAGAGTCGCATATACAGTAAAATACGTAGGGCTTAGGCACGTGTTGCTGCCCACAACGCGGGTTATTCGCAGTGTTACTCAGTCATATGCCCCCCGGTTGTCCTTACTTCATAGTGCAAGTTCATCGTCCAGAGTTTAAAAATATCTCTGAAGAGAGACTTGGCCTCGGGAGCTAGATTCTTCAGCTTGGAACGACTAGTGAAGCCCTCCATGCAGCAATCCGTCAATTGTTCAGCATCAGGACCAACTGGTGGCATTGCACAAGGAAGCGGCTTGTCCATCCAGCATGGAGAGGCCGCAGGTAAACTGCCGTAAAGATTGCAGCAAGGTGAAAAATAGTGGGCATCAGAGCTTGGTGAGTGAAGGTGAGTTGGCTTATACGCCTCATGAGGACAGTTGCAGGTACAATTGTCTCCGCTGATTAAGCGCGTTGTAGAATAAGGTGCGACTGGGCGAAGGGTCCCTGAAGCCTGCGAATAAGATATTGGAGTAGAGGTTCCACTGCCATAGAGAAGACTCAGGGAGGCTGGCGCAATCGAGCTTCTTGTGGAGTGTGCCGCAGCACTGCACGCAGGAGTTTCGTCGATTTGCAGCGGTGAGAAACTGCAAGCATCTTCTGAGGCCTTTACTATGGGTTCCAAAATGCAAGATTCTCTTCCCCTCCTATCAGGCTGTTGCCGCACAACGAATTCTTGTGTCAACTGGCGGACAGATGCCTCGTGCTGCCCAGCGTCACCCATGCGAAGTGATCCTGGAAGGATACGAATTCTGGCGGCAGTAACTTTTTTCCCACCGCATTCCTGATGTTTGGCTATGGCTTGCTTCACTGTCTTTTCTGCGATGTCTTGCAGAATACCCATCACGACGGCATCGTCACTGCTGCCGTACCCACACAACTTCGGAGGTTCTGCAAGCCCCAGCTGCAGGCTCTCGTGTAGTGGCGTGACTGCGCCATGGTTCTCTGAGGAGAGTTCCACGGTGGACGGGCTGACTGACAGCCTCTTGCTCATGACACCCTGTCACTCTTCCGCTGAGAATCTCTACAAGGATTTCGGCTCAAGGCCTGTGGTGCACATCGACTCATATGGATTGCCGTACCAAACTTCCGGGCATAGACATATATTGCACTATTGGCTATGCATGAATCCGGCTTTTGTATGGATAGAAACAAATTGGCAGCGATTTAGAACACGAAGAACTATAATTTGAAGGGGTTCGGAAGCAGGGGATGCCGGAACTTGAGAGACCACCAGCCGGACAAATCACTGACCAGTTGCTATCCTAAGGCCTATAAATTCACCACGAATCTGCGAGGATAAGAAGATTGATTGTCAATATTCCAGTCCGTTATGCAAAGGGCGCACTTTCCGTGGTTAATGGTTAAGGCCTGGTCCAAATCAATATGTGCCCACACGGTGGGCCTGCGAAATTGAGCTTGCTTTCAACTCCTTAGCTCGGACTAGCTGCACTTGATGGGCCCTTAACATTTGATGTCTTTTCTAAAGGCAATAATGTGCTCGAATCTCGTAATTTTCACGTTGTTTTAGTGAATTCACATTAGCTTGTGGGCCCCCCAACCCAGAAGGTCGGTAGATGTCTGGGGACAAGGCCCGGAGCATGAGCCTTCCTGTCTCTCTAGCATTTCTTCAGCGTAAAAGAATAAAATTAAACCACAGATTAATGTTGAATATTTTTGTCCACTTTCTAATTTTGGTGTTTGTTGCATTATGGGCATTTGCTTGTCATGGTGTACCGGACCCTACGATATGCAATGTGGTGTACCAAAACCACGATTTGCACTAGAAAGGCTTTGTCCTTGGATTCTTGCTTAATTTTGTCTTCAGGTGGCTACGGGACTTTCAATAAAGCCCTAGATCTTCAGTTGCACCTGCGTCTGCAGCAGCAAGGCACATCTGAGACGGTACCCGCTATAATCCTGTTGATACAAACACTTGAAGCTATTCTGTATTTAAGCTATGATTACCCCGAGAACCAGGCCTTACAGCCATCATAGCTCCTCTGATCCTTGACCACCGTGCGTATGAGGCTTCGCTGGGGCCTGCAATACAAAGTCCGTAACTTTTCTCTTGCCATCAAAACGCGTTCAGAACCTTCAGATGAAGGATGCTATGATGCTCCTACTATAGTCTTCCTTAGGCTATCCTGAAGTAACAAACCTTAGCAAAACGAATGAAATGTTATCATGCCTTTTTCGAAGAATTATCCTGTCTCTTCGCCGTCATTCCACAGGCTTCTGGGATAAGCGGAAATATGCCTAAGGGGATGCGGTTTCCTGCATTCTGTGACCCGCTCCAAGACATGCATGCAGCTCCACATACTCAGCCAGCCTACCTGCGCGCAGCGGTCATGCGTAATCTACTTTGCAATGAATCGAATTTGCGATACGCCAAATCATGCATTCAGTGCTTCCTTTACATCGTAATAAACATAACTCATGCTTTAAAGGCTAACGATTTGGCGCTAGGCAGGCTCCAAGTGCAATTTTCCGCATACTAGATCTATCTGCACCAACACCACTGGCATTTTACAAAACAACTTGAGGGCGTGTAAACCATCCGCAACATACTCTCGCTCTGCAGAGTAACACTCGCCGATTGGCGGAAGAATAAGATGAAACGTGTAGCCCGAGGTTTAGCAGAAGGCTTCAATAAACCTGAACATACCAATGATGGATATAATCCACATCTTGATAAACCAGTAAAAAGCGCAGTTTTTCTAAACCCGGACATTTGCAAAACCTGCCGGCTCCTAATGGGAATTATTGTAAGCTCACCATGCAACTTATCATTGAAGTGCCGGAACTCGAGGCTTGTTATAGCCTTCACGTCATTGTCTGCCGACTCAGCGAAGGTACCGTTGAATCACTCGTTCCAATTCTGCCATGGCTCAGGAAGTCGCACATTTATACCTTATATATAGCTCATGTCTGGAAAGTTCACAGATTCCCCTAACTAGCATTGCCGAAAGAGATTAAAAGCTCGCTAGGGCGTTCTGATTAGCCTTTATGACCCGCCTGCACGGTGAACACATCAGGACCCCTGAAAACCACCGTAAGACATATGGACAGACTGAGCACACTAGCCACACAGTATCGACAACTCCATCAGCACAGTATCCATTTGCTTAGCTCGATATTTTGTGCAGAAAGGGCCTATTTCACAACGGTACACTCGTCCACTCGTTGCTCTCCTGCACCCCTGGTCTACATTAAAAAGCACCTCTCCTATCGGGGCCCGGGATTGGCATTTTAGGGTCAGTAGCCACCCTTGCCAGCGGAAGGACTTACAGAACAGCTAGCTAATGAGGCTGCAGCCATGAGAAAAGCTTAATAAAGGCAAGCGCGGAATTGTGATACTCGGTAGTCGGCTCTGTATATCGAGCCTCCAAACTTGGCGCTGGTGGATCGGCATGCTTTACACGGTGCGTAGAAGTGCTGGATTTTAGAGATATTGAGCGCTGACAGCACGCTAGACGGGTGTTTCTAGTGAAGGCGAAGGGAAAATATCAACCTTGGTGGTTCTCGAAGAAGCGGTTGAGGGCTCTGTTTCTTGCTGAAGAATTCAAAGCTCTGTTCACAGCGCTGGTTGCCCATGGACAATACTATGCGAGCCGCTTGCTGTTTGTTCTTCCATAGCGCATGTTCTGCCTGGGATAGCTACCTTCATCAATCGTATTGCTTGGACCCTTCCCTGTTATTATTGTTCAGGTGTTTACTGCGCTCAGGTCTATGCGCATGCACTCTCAGGTGTTGTCCCTACTATTACTGATGCCTCCTTCGGCTCTTTGAAGCGACACGCTGCATGCGCCACTTTACTTTCTTTAATAGATTTTTCTGTGAGACATAGGTTCATTGCTGATTTTGTGCGTATTTCGACTGCTTCGCATATCTTACTTGTTTTGATTGACTTCTATTCTCTCGTAGTAGGAAGCTCACATTCTCAGCGCTTTATTGACAGACATGTTTGTCTTTGTTCCCTGCGAGCTCATTGAAGTGGCTGACGTACTTATTTAATTTTCTCAGATACACTCTTTCCACGCTTCTGCATGCGTAAAGAGTGACGTTAGTACGGGAATGCGGGAACACTTACGGTGTCCTGCACGCAGCTGGTCTCGATGAAGCGGTACAAAAACCGATGGCGTTCGTTTCGGAATGGGGAAAGGAAAGCTGCAGATGGATGCCTAAGGGGGCTCAGCTACATTGAACACTTTCTACTGCAAAGCATGTTGGTACAGAACTGACTTATTGGTTTGTGTTCGTATACCTTGATGACCGCAAAATACAGCTAGCTCAGTACAAAAGACGCAATATTGTGTGCGTGTGCGCCTGATGTTATATGCACCTGACTGTGACAGCTCAGAATGCCTAAAGAGTGGAGCTGCGGGCACCCTAACTTCCCCTCTTCTCTCATGTTGGGAACTTCAAGGGGAGTGCGCAGGGGAAGGCGGGAGCTCTCCTAGAAAACAGTTATTAGCTTTCTAGTAAGGTTGTAGTGAGTCTGGATCACGATGTCTCTTTACGCAAACTGTAGCTGAAGTGCAAGATAAAACTTGAAACACCAGAAGCCGAACCAGCAACGGAAGCCGTCTTCCATCACTTTCTTGACACATTAACCCCTTTGCAATTCCATCGAAGTAACACCTGCACACCATGAGGTGAATGAAAAGTAGTCAGCCTGTGGTGTTGAATGGTAATGAAGCATCGTTAATTCACATCGAAAAATGAACGCTCTCCAATGTGCAGAAACATACCAGAAAATAAGGGTATTTTTGCGTTTCCAACCATCACTGTTCCAATTTATATCTAATTGGCCGCATGCATCAGAAGGACCAGCAAGATAGAGCCTTTGAGGCAATAGCGAATTGCTTCCGCCAGCGGAACGCAAACGCGCATATAAAGGTGGACTAAAAGCAACGTAATGGCAAGTCTTCATTATACGCTCGGTCAAGTCAGGATGCTGCCTTGCCAATACTTTGCCCTTCTAAACGCACTTGGAGCTACAATAACCCTACCGCTGACCAATTTGCAAGCCGTAAATATTCCTCTGGGGCAGACCACATAAAATCGAAGCAAAAAGGATAAAGAATACAGCATATAAACGAAAGGTCGTGCAAAAGGTACGCCCGGGGGTAGGTACAAAGGGCCCGGTTGCAGGGCCCCCGGAAGGGCCACACAAGCCCGTAATGGAGACCCTACATTTGCGTGTTTGTAGAGTATGAATGAATACTATGCCTGGAAAACTATGAACGTTTTGTTTACTTTGCACCTCATTTTCACGCCTGCATGCGACAGCCACAAAGAGAAAGAAGGATATGTCACATCGGAAGTAAAGGATAGGGAGAAGACCAGGGGCAGAAGATCAAAGAACGGAAATTCTCATAGAAGACTGCCCATCAGGTGTTCTATCTCTTACAGCCCCAGCAGGAGCCAAGACAATCGTTCATTCGGCGTTAGCGCATTGATAGTGTGTAGAATGTACATGTGTGCCGACATTCCCCTCTCCACAGCAGACGTTAGAGCCTGTTGCTGCTGCTGCGGCTGTTCATGTCACAAGACTCCGGTGGATCCTTCAAGTGTTAGTAGCTTCCCTCAGGATTCAGGGGCAGACCGAGGAGCTCTAGATGGCTTGCCCAGAGGCAATGGGAGTAGCAATGGTGGAAGGAACACTGTAGCAAACAACGAGGGCAGCAGCAAGAGCCGCAGCAAGAGCCGCAGCATTGTCACTAGCAACAAGATATACGGGTGTGGATCCTGTTTGCTGGGGGTTGCAAGAGGCACCAGTATAACTGCAGCGCGTCATCACGCATGCCGGTGTTCGTTCTGCTGTAGCTGTAGTTGTTTCCACGTGCCTTTGTCTATCCTATCTTCAATACTTAAGGCCAATCCCTTTCTATCGTATCTTCCCGCCGTCGAGCAGCAGACAGACGAGGAACAGCTTGCAGATGCAATAACACAAAGCGGATTCCAAGGCAAGTACTTCTAACCAATACTTTCTCCCCTACGTAGCATTTCTTATATTTCCCGTCACCCCATACTTTCCCTTCATTAGAAAAAATTTAGAATGGGATGGTCTGCAAGAAGAGATCTCAGGGCTGCCTTACGCGGAGTTCAGGAACCTGAAGCTGCGAAAGATCTTGAAAAATGGAACACTTCCACTCCCATGGGACAGCGCAGGGCTACTATGTCGTTGCAACTTATCAGTGCCTTCAAGTGTGATTCTTACAACTTATATTTTGACTGGTTGGTCTGGCAGTTTCCTGCTGATGCTTCAGGTTCCTTCTCTTGGGCGCACGAGGCGTCTCCATGTGCCTACGCCCGCCTCTGTCGCGCCGGCTTCTTGCCTGTAGCAGAGTCCTTCCATCATTCAAGCAGTCAGTGATTTCTAGCCTGGTCTTCTTCGCATCTGCTTTGATGATTGTTTACCTGAGGGGTCCTGGTATGCGGGATTCAGCAATCGATGACGCTCGTTTTTTCCTCTTCTACTAACCCTTTCCCTGTGCTGCGTTATCTGGATGCGGGTCTTCTCTTTTGTGTGTTTCGCTTTGCCAGCCGAATGTTTCGTACACTGCTTGAGTTCTCTCCCATGCAGGTGCTTCTTCTCAGGAGCAGACTGTCTTGCTCCTTCCCAAACTGCACTTCGAGCGAATGTGCCTTCTCCTGAATACAGAAGTTGGCCGTCTGCCTGCCCCAAAAAGTCTGAGGCGCAAGGCCAGGCACTTTCTTTTCTCAGTTGACAAGGCTTTCGACGAGGTTACAAACTACGCTCTTGCATTTACTCATGCTCCTTGTGGCATTCTCCGCTAACCATTTAACTAGCCCCCATTCTGTGCACTACCTCACCGAATAGGTAGTCACTTCGAGGTATAGCAAGAACCAAGTAGCCAGCTAGCTATTTAGCTTGACATTCACGCTGCTTCTTTCTTAGCCAGCGATGTGTGCTTTAGAGACTTTAGGAAATGAGGCTTGCTGCTGTGATCGTCAGGTATTGGGTGGCTGTGTGCGCCGTCATGGGGAAAACTGGTTGTGGAGGCCTGTCAGACAGGTGCGCCCTAGCCTGTATCGTTCAGCTCAACTTTATCCCTGTTCCTGTGTTCCTTGTATCTTCTGTCCTCAATTGCAGCGTTTCAATCTCATAAGCCTTTCTTGTGTCTCCCTTGGCTGGTCGACAGGCTCCCTGATGAATTGGGGAGCTTGCTTTTAGAGGGACTAAAGGGGAGAAGCAAAGTTTCTGCGCATTCCAGTAGCGCTGCAGTAGGCCTAGATAGAATATATAACGAATGGGACAGGGGACGGCAAACAGAGGCAGCGAACTTTTTCTGTCTGAGAAGGGATGAGCTAATGCGCTCTTAGGTTTTGCATCTGCTGTGTGATGTTTAACCAAAGTGCCTTAGAGCGCTCCACAGGCGAACCCTGCGTGACGCTCACTTAGGGCTTCAGGGACCCCCTAACGTTGCACGAATACAAGAAAATAATACAGAAAGCGGTAGCAGTTCCTCGTCCTCTACTTCTAATACGCAGTGCTCGAGCAGGGATCATCTATGCGCACCGGATGTGAAGGTGCACAGCTTCGAGATTTGGACGCGGCTCTGCGATTTGGAGAGACTTCGGCTGCTACCACTTAAACCCCAGCGCGAACTCAACACCGCAAGCACGCGCCAAACAGTGGTAGAGGCTTCTGCAGTATTCTCGACAGCAGAAGCCTCAGAAGGTCCAGGAGCAGCGGGCCCCGATTTGTCAGAGGTTCTGTCCTCCCTGGGTTCTTCGTCGATTGTGGGGGCTCCCAGCAGCTCTTACAAAGGCCTCTGTCTTGTGGCCGGAGAGATTGGAGTGTCTGTCGGTCAGGTATACACGAGCCTTACAGCGTTCACTGATGCGGATTCCGCAGGCGCCGCGCAAATTGCAGCTGTTCGCCTCCTCCTCCGCACAGCTGGTGAGCGGCTGTCGTTGTCTGAGTGTCTCTCGCGCTGTTTTCTTTTTCGCTGTATCTTTCTGCATTCCAGACTCGGTGCTAGCTATGATCAACGGCTTGCCGCGTGAATAACTCGAGTATATTTTTTTGGCAACAGTGGAAGAGTCCAGTGCAGGTGCTTTTTTCTGCAGGTGTGTGCCCCGTTGTGCGCCGTGCTGTAGGCTACCAGCTGCTGGACTTTGGCATGCCGCTTCCTTATAAGGAAACCCTGGGGGCCAAGCGCTTGCCTCGCCACCTGTTCCTGAAGTTATTCAAGAAACTGAGAGAGAGAGAAACAGTAGCGTTAGATGCTGCTATGCAGCAGTGTTGCCAGGCAGTCCTTCGGTCAAAGAAAGATCTGGAAGGGACAACGGATGGGAATGAGAAGGACAGAGAAAAAGAACAGGATGGACATAAAGAGAAAAAGTTGGAGGAGGACCAGGAAAAGAACGTCGAACTGCGTAGGGGCTGCGAAGCAAAAAGGAAGCGAACTTCGGGGATATTGGGGGCTATTCCACAAACCGAGAAGACAGAAAGAGACATCCGTTTGCCCCAAGGCTTTTGGGGTTGCTGCGAACTGCTACAACTTTTGGGGAATACGCAGAATGCTCCCAAGGCCTGTGGTGAGAGCATAGAGCACAGTTGAAACAGACGCAAAAGTAGGACAGGCAAGACCGCGAAAAGGGGCACCACAAGCCAGCTTCTCGGGGTTATGGTCAGGGGGATTTGATCTTATGAAAGAAACAAGCGAATGACCGTGGCGGAGCGAAGTGTTGAAGACTAGTCAAGAGGGGCACGCCGTCACTACGTCCTAAACCCTCGCACTGGCGTAAACAGCCGTGTTCACGGTTAGTCATCTCGACTGTTTTCATGGATTTGATTGTTGGGGGCCTGCTGAGTGCCTTCACACGATAAAGCGTAAGCAAGGAACAACATAGGGAAGTCGGCTGCAATTCAATAAATCGACCGAGACGACGAAAGGGAAACAACTTGCTAGCACTACTTAATAGTTTTGGGGGGGCGAAAAGCCTATTATCTATAAACAGAAATCCATAAAGCCTCTTTTAATTGGAATCTACTTCCGTCGTTTCATCTTGCAGCCCGTTTTAAAATAGGACGAGCAGGAGTGCGACCCCACTCGCTCCCCACACTGGAGGGAAAGTGTCATTTGAAGTTAGCACAGAATGATTGAAATCTTAACAATTTTTGATTTGGTTAAGAGATGGACTACAAAAGTTTTATTTAAATGGTGCGGCCATCCACTGTCTTTCTTGTGCCTAGGACCAACTACCAGGCTGCACCAAGCACTCGTGTGCCCGTCTCCTCAAGCTCGTCGGTACCTCCACACCTTTTGCCCATTGTTTTTTGATCCCTGTTTAGATTTTGGTTTTATTGTGGAGGACTTGTGCACTGGAGACTTTCTGCATTCTACTCTCCTTTCCCTTTGTCGATTTCCTCCCTTTTGTCCGATTGCCCGATTCCACAAAAATGGAGCCTCCCCGGATCTCTCTTGTACTTTTCCTGCTTCTGCCCGTATTTGCAGCAGCTATATCACCAAATTCAGAAGCAATCCTGGAACATCTGGAGAAGCCAGTTTCTCTGCCGCCTCCCCCGCGTCCCATCCGATTGATCCTGTCAGACTTTGACGGGACTCTGACAGGGGAACAAGGCCGGTTCGTTGAAGAGAATATTCGGGGTATACTCCTGGCTAGAAAACTTGGCATTCAATGTGGCTTCTCCACTGGCAGAGGGCCAAGCAACATTAAACGCGCCATTGGCGAACATGCTATGGGGCTCTCAGCAAGCAGTTTCAACGGCTCCAGCGATGCCGAAGATGGCAGCGCTAAAAGCCTACTAACACCTGGTATTTTTATGAACGGCGCATTTGTTGTGGGCGAAAATGGCGAGATTGTGCATGACGGGCCATTCAGCAAAGACCTTCACGAAAGACTTGTCGAAGCCTTTAAACGCCATGGTTTTTCGTCTTTTGAGTACGAAAAAATATCGAAAGAAGAAGCCATACTAAACCCACGGATTGCGGAAATGCCACAAACAGAATCTGCCATGAAAACTCACGAATCTGAATATGCTGAAGAAGAGATGACTCCCTACTACGCACTTTCTGTTCACGCTGACTCTGCTCTAATTGATGAAGCAAGGTCTGTGCTAGAACAGCAATTTGAGGGAGAGCTCGAGTTCACAAAGTGGCGCTCGAATGCCTTAGGGGCACACCGCAAAGGTTTTTCTAAAGGCAGCGGCGTTATTGCCCTCTGCCAGGCCCTAGGGCTTTCTCCAGAGGAAGTGCTGGTAATGGGGGACGCAGAAAACGATTTGTCAATGTTTAGCGTCGCAGGCACTGCGGTAGCTGTTGGAAACGCGATGCCAGTGGTGAAGAATGCCGCGGACTTTGTGACCGTTGACAGCAGTCAGGGTGCGCTCCTCGCTGTTGTCAAGGAGATTCAACAGCTAGGGTACTATCCAGGAGCAAGCAAAGTGAACGGGGACCAGAAAGAATAAGGAGCAAGTCCGTCTATCAGCTTGTCATCTGCCGGTCCTTTCCCCTGTTAAGCTTGTACGTGTATTGGCATTTAAGGCGCAACTTGCGCTGGCAGCACTCTTTAGGGTGCGGATGATGCTTCTCCTACATGGAAGATAAGTACATTTGAGGATGCTAACCAAAAAGCAAAGGATTAAGGAATCTGTACTTGTCTATGCTTGTTATTTGTTCGTCTCCTTTCGTGCTTGGGCAGCAGGTTGAGTTAAAGCGATATTCAAACTTCTTCACCGGAATGAGAACTTCAGTGACCTGAAAGCGACACCGATGCATGCTTCCCTGTATTTGCCGGTTTGCTGCCTCTGCAAGTTTTGCTTTGAGTGCAGCGGTGGTCGCTGAAGCAGTGACAGGAGAATTTTTCATGACGATTCTGATTTGTTCTGCATCATATATCTTTGTTTTGTTCCTTAGTTTGTTGTAACTCCTTGCGCTCACTTCTTTGGGGTCCGGCTGTCTCCGAGTTGGCCACTCCAGAATTTACTTAGGATGCTCCAGTATGTATTGTAAATTCCAGGCTTAATGAAAGGAATCGAAATAGTATGTTAAAATACATGGGAAGTTGGTAAAAGCACCGCTTTGGAGGTCAGTATTTGACGTCGGCTGGGTGCCGTATTAATTTGGCAGTCTAAAACATAGAATTGTTTGATAAAAGGCAACCGTCCACACTTCATTCATTCAACCCAATCAAAGAATCGATATGTGTGTGAGGGTGCCAAGAAACACTTCCTCATTTCCTAGGGTCAAGAACAGATAAAAGGCGAAGAGGAGCCGAAAAGGAAGACTGCTGGTGCGACCAGCTCCGATACAACGGTAGTCTAAGTGGATGTCCATGCAAGGTGCACTATCGGTAGCTGCTACTCTGTCAACTAATGTCTGCCAAACGTATTAACGAATAATGCCTCTAAGAACATAGCGCAGGTGATTTGAGTGGAGATGAAGCACGACCTGTGTGAAGCGTTAGCTTCTAGGTCCCATGTGCGGGGGTCTATTAGCTCTATAAGAAATCTGCGCACATGTTTGCGCGGACTGCCACCAAGATTAACACTGATCGATATTACAGGTTGCACTAATAACTGGGAGATACTGCCGTGGGACGAGCTGTGGTGGCCTTGTGAGAAATAACCGCGGAACACAAGCGAAACAAGAGAGGGGGGCAATACGACGAATAGGATGCAACGCACGAAAAAGCAGCATTGAGTTAGTTTTGAAAGAAGTGCCGCTTCGATCCTCTGGACCTGTCATGAGGCAAGGCCCGCCCTTCAGTTCACCCCCACCTGTCTCCTGTCAATGAGTTTACGACTACTGTCAATCTCAAGTTATTAGTGAGCCTATGGCCTTCATGATCCAGCTGTCTTGTTGTGCTTCGTCCTTCACGACACCGCATGCCCTCAGGCTTCTCCCAGCGTGTGGAAGACTGATAACACTCGATTCCCCTTCTCCCCTGCTACACTGCCTGTGCACTGTGATAACGTTCAACGGTTTCTCAGTTCCCTGAAACCAAGTGTCCGTAACTCCTCTGCTTTGTCAGCAATAAAAAATTCGGCTGTTTCTTTCATACATTGCTTTACAGTCTCAGGTCAGCTCCCCCGCCTGCCATCACAAGCACCGACATATCTGTTTCAGCGCATGCAGTGAAGATAGGGCCTTTAGACGATCGCTGTGCAGCGAGCTGTGCTCTAGTCTCCTCTCCCCTTTTATTATTATAGAGGGGTTTTGTAGTGTGATGGTTGGTGAGGGCTGTAGCCCCTGGGTGTTTTTCAGCAATACGCCATGTAGTGTCAAAAGTAGCAGGTGTGTTTTGCTACATTTATTAGTACCAGCTTCTGCGTAAGCTGTGACTACATACACCAAGATATATGTTTTGGAGTATCTCAATGCTGTGAGACCAGCCAAACTTGTAAAGATTAGCCACTAGAGACTGATGACGTAAAAAGCAAGTCCCAGGGGCTGCCATATCAGAAGGCATGCGGAAAGGGAAGGAGGACCTGAGCTACACACTATTCTCAAGAAGCAACCATATCTAAGAGGCTATGTCTCTTTGAATGAATGGCTATGCCTTTACATTTTGCAGTGCATACAGTACCACTTGCAAGGCAACAGCTAGCTTGTATCCTCATCGTTGTGCATAGTGAATGGAGGCTTGAAATAGGTCGCCACAGTAGCCCGACAGACTTGTTTTCAGTTAGTTTAAAATTATAGAGTAGTAAAAGCTTAGGTGTATCTAGGCCTGATACATGCTAGCAATTGGGATGATATTGCTACAAAAGCTGTGTTAATTTCATTTGAAGCTAGGTAGGAGCGTTAGTCCATTTATACAGCAGCGAGCTATGCAGCAGGCAGGATGCTGGGAAGGAGTATCAATATACAATGCTCGATATTACTTTTATTGTTTCTTGTGTTATTGACCCTCTGCCATGAAGGGCTACGGCCGTTGGTCTTGTCTCACTAATGGAAAAAACCATTTTGCTGGCGCTAATAGTACCATTGAACCTGTTGCTGATCGCCTGTTCCTTTTCTTTGTGTATTTCTTTAGGTGATTACGGCTAGTATCGTGTATTGCCACTGATATTAAGAACAGATCCATGCGTCATCTCCACCGGACGAACAGCAGGTAGGGGACTACGTCGGTCAACTTACAAAAATGAACAGAATTGTGATTAAACGCAATCACGAAGTCATGTGAGAATCGCATTCAGCTCGGTAGTGAAGCTGTATTGTAAGTGCTGGTCTGGGGAGTAGATGTGCACGCTTTCCTAGACTGCTTCGAGCACGCAGCTAGTTTGCTGCATCAGCACTGTCCCCCATCCACCCCCCAAACCAAGGATTTGGTGTGTGTATTATACACTGCGACTAAGCGGCCACAGTATTACTGGACTCTAGAGTCAAGCTAGATAGCATGCTCATATTTACGACAGGTGATAAGTAAGCAGTTCTTAGCGATGTAAAAATCTCGTGGTTATTAGAGCGTAGGGCTGTCCTATTCTATTATGAACGACTAGAGGTGCAATATACAGCCCAATTCCCTTTTTAACTTTCTCAGTGTGTTTTGAGAACTTACTCCTGGTAACAACTAAAAACGCAGTAGTGGATGTACTCCAGTGGAATAGGCCTGCCAAGAACGACAATTAACACAATGGCTCAGGGACTGTACCGCTGTTCATTTAGAACGCACTGATGCCAACACTATTGAAGATCCCGGTCGACGGCAAGTGACACAATGTGTATTACTGGGGAATCCGGGGAAGAGGTAGTGAACGGGTACCCTCGTTGTTATCGTTGCTCCTTTTTGCCCTTTGGCTCCTGCGAGAGCCCTTCGCATGCAACCTCACTCCATTCCCTTGTAGCCCCAAGTGTGTGCACAAATTTATCTGCTTCATGGTGTGCAACATGTCTATTTTACACATAGCTTTACTCAAATATGATTAGCTGTTCAATATAGTGGTTTCTAGGCAGACCAATGCATAAATACCATCACATTTTTTAGTGCAGCTGCCCACCTGACGAAATTCAAGGCAATTAGAGGCGAATCCATGTTGTATATAACGAAAGCTCAAGAACCTGCCCCGATCGATACAGAGGGTTCGTCTGTCGAACAAAACTGTTTGCGTGGCACTAATATCCATCTGAAGTTCGTACTTGTATAGGCTAAGAGTACGCTTAAGCTTTAGAGAGAAACACTTTAATGTCGAGTACACCGTCGATTCTGGCCATGGAGATTAATGGTCTTCTACCCGTTGGCTAGACACATTTCGATTCTTGAATTTTGTTTACAGTTCTTTCCTCTGCCTCCTCCCAGTGTACATCTCCTCCTACTTTGAGGTGCCAATAAAGATCGTAACCGAGAATAAGTAAACCTTCATGTAGCCTTAAACAGAAAATCCAGATAGTATATTTCCCAGCACCCAGAATTTCTCACCAATTACCCTTCAAGCGACTCTCTGACTCACCCTCTCTCGACTACCCAGCTATCCCTTCTATCGCAGAAATTGTTATTATTTCCCCTACTTGACATTTCACCCATAGCGTCTATCACACAGCTTGCTCATCCTATGCCAAGGCCTTTGCAAACAGCTTTGGAGAAATTTGTATACCTTCATGCGCTCTGCTTTCATCTCCCTTCATGGAAGCTGTTCTTCTTCGGAAGGGTAGCCAGCGGGAAACAATAATACAGCCAGGGAAGCAGCTCTGAAGGCTTTGGTCAGAAGCCAATCATGCAAGGAGCTTTGCCTTCTCCTTTCGTCAACCTCATCGGTACGTCTTGGAAGTGATGCAATCCTCTTCATTCAGGAACTGCTAGAGGTCAGATATCGTGATATCTCGAAGCACTTATTCCCCTTCATAACGCATAAATCCCATCATATGTGTAGCTTCGAGCCTTAGCTGCAGTCAGGTCTTGTACGTTCATTACGTTCGCCTCAAGAATAGTCTGAGGTCGTGAAGGCCCGCGCGAGTGTAAATTTTAATGAAGAGCTTCATCTGAAAAAATCTCCAATGTACAATGGACGAGAAAAAAGTATTGCAACTCTGATTGAAATTAAGGGAGACTATGTGCATTTGGTCAAGCTGTAGAAGCATAAGTAACCATAACTAAGCCTAGGGAAACGCCTCTACGTTTGTATCGCCTCACTTCCTCAGTGAACATGCACTGAAGGCGGCGATCATGTGCCACCTGCTCTCAGCTAATTAAAAGATCTTCGTCCTAAGTTTGGGGTGTGCACGTTTCATCCTCTCCAAACAAGCAGCAATCCAGCATAAAAGGGAAACAAGACTGACCAGAAAAGCAAATGAGCCGGACTTCTTTGCGTGGGTACATGTGAAAGGAACTCAAGCGTCTATAGATGTAAATATACTGTCATACACACAACACAACGCAATACAAATATACTAATCATTCCGTTATCCGTGGCGGATACATTTGCCGCCGAGCAGCACACATAGCTGCAGGTTCCACTCTGGTTGCAGATGCACGACACCTTGAACAGCAACTGTACCTAGGCCCATTTTGTTGCAGTTCTGTCAGAATCTAGTCAGCATGCAGGAAGGCTCTTCTTTTTCAATCATTCGATGCCCGACAAGGTGGGCTTTAGAAGGCCCCCTCGCGCCCTTCCGAGTCCGCAAGCAGGCTCTCAGCTGGCTCCTACGGAACCCTCCAACTCCTCCTGCACCTCCGGTGGCAGAGTCCAGACCCACAGCCGTGTGGACGTGCCTCGAACAGGGGCTCCTGTAAATATAATGAGCTCTTGGGGATCGGATCCGCCGCTCACGGGATAACATTCAACGCAGTCGTATGCCTCGTCTAGAGGAGAGCTCTCGGGTGAAACCTCCGGGCTCTCTTCAGTGTTGCATGGAGCACCCGACCGGAAGGGTCTAACGGTGTCGATCCTCAGCTTCCCGTCCCTCATCCCCTTTGAGATGGCCTTGTCTGCTGCTTCTAGGACATCATTGGACATCACTGCAGTTGCAGTTCCCCCGAGGGCGAGGGTCACGTGTGCGTAATGATATGCAGCTATGCAAAAAGGAGTCACCTTTGAAGACGAAGAAAGACCCTCAATGGGATCTCTCACTTCGTGGGGCCCGCAAACACCACATGCTAGCCCACATCTGCCCTCGCCTGCCTCAATTTCTTGTACAGAATCCTCGAGACCCCAGGCGAACTGGTGAGCTTTGAAGATATGGTCCTGAACCACTCCTTGGAGATCCCCTCGTATGATGTTAGCAGGAGGATCTGCTAAGGGGACGACTGGGCACAGAGGCACGAGGGCCCCGCACGCCAACCCGAAATCTGCAAATACAAGATGGGAGACCCTCAATTTGAATGAGAGGCCAGTTTGTCTCCTTGAGGCTAACAGCTGCTCCAATCGGAGAATACGAGGATCCATAGAGGAAAAGCCAGCCCCTGCAGGACCCCCTTTCTCAGTGATAGGAGACCTCTTGCCGCCGAAACACTGCAGAGGGGAAGCCTGCAAGGAAGGTCCCAGGAAGCGATCAAGCCATTTGTTCGCCGCAGAAATCTCGCCTCGCGTTACTCTTAAGACTCCCCCTCCCAAAAAAAACGTTGTAACATGAGGCCTTTCCACAGGTGTTAATGTAGCGCACACGTTGCGGAAGCTGAGGTCCCTAGAGGCGCCACTAGGGTCTCCTGGTGAGTTCTGAACAACAGCACAGAGCTGTTCAGTGAGGGAAGAAAGGGTCTCTTTATCCTCGCCCAGATGAAGGCTGTAGAATGTGGGCAACCGCAACCTCAGTTGAGTATTAGAGGGACCCCAGTGGCCTCCTTCCGGTGTCGGGAGGCAGATGTCTCCGCGGGGCTGCGGCAAATCTCCGCAGCCAGAGCTCTCCAACCGGATATACTGCTTTTGCTGCAGCTGATCCTGTTGAGTGCTCTGGTTCTGCTGCACCACGCTCTCCATTGAAAAAAAGAGATCATCAAGCTGCTGCAGCAGTACAGCAGCTGTGCGGGTAATAGCCGTACGGTGAGCGCCCTGGGCGTCCCCAACGATGGACTGCTCCGGGGGGAATTGTCTAAGACTGACAGCGAGTGCCTCATAGACGCTGCTATTTGTGATGGGGTGGCTAAAGGGTTTGAGAGAGGAGAGAGCAGACAGCAGCAGCTGCTGCTGTTGCTGGCGCGCCTGCTGCAGCTGATGCTCCTGCTGCATCAAATGGGGCTGAGGCAGCACCGTCTGCAGCAGGAGCACGTGGTCGACCGCCGTGTGACTCTGCAGGAATTCCTTGAGCTGCACAAACCCGCCAAAGCAGGAGACAAACGACAAGCAGATATGCAGGGCCTTAATGTCCTGGGCCTCCCTACCCTCTCTCGGGGCCGCGTGGGGTCCTGCAGTCGACCCCGTGAGGGTGGCGTGCTCTCCACGGGTCAATACCCTATACAGACACCTGAGCACGACGTCCACGGACCAGGGGTAGCGCCAAGAAATAAAGCTCTGCTGACACTCCTGACTGTGGGCCTCCGAGTGCTGTACCCCTCCGTGGGGTACAGTTCCCAGCACAGAAGAGCCGTCTGGTGCTGCATCTGGTGGCAGCAGTAACGCGGCAGTTGCAACATTGACAATGGCACGCGAACGGCATAAAACGTCTACCTGGAGAGCCCGTAGCAGCTGCTGAAGATCGGAGAAGCGAGGTTCAACTGCATTCGGTGGATGGTTTCTGTCAATTACTAGTAATACACGAAGGGGGCGCTGCTGCTGTTGTTCATGGCAAGACCGGTTTGTAAGAACCTCTCTAAGTGCACGAAAGAAACTGGTCTGAGCCTTTCCCAAGACATTTTTGCCTTCGGCGATAGCTGCTTTCATTGTCTTGCCATCGGGCGGCCCTTCATGCAGGCCTCCGTGGGCATTCATTGGACAACACGGGGCCGCCATGCGTGCCGCTGCGGTTGGGCCCGCCGCTGCTGCCTCCTCAAGGCAGACCTGGTGCAGTGCACCTGTGGGGGACTCCCAGCCCCACGAACGCAGTATCTCTCCGGTTGCTTCGTCAGAACTGAGAAGGCAGACTATGTCCACTGGAGACTTCGTTGCTGCCGTTGCTGCTGCCTCCGCTGTAGGCTTCGTCCTGCCCTCCCATATGAAAAGACCTGCAAACAAAAGCCACCAACCGCTAAACCCTAAACCATAGACAGCAACGATCCACCCCGCCATCCCCGAAGCACGCCCAACACCTCGAAGTCTCAACCGTAAGCCGAAGCCCTACCCGTAACCCCGTCGATTGAAGAGGTGTTTCCAGAAATCAGCTCCTCGCGAAGGGCCGGCCTCAGGGCCTCCAACAACACCGTTGTCTTCCCGCTGCCTGGGAGACCCACAGGCAGCAGTGCAACCACAGAGGCACGGACCCCTTGAGTCTCCCTGCACGACCATACACAACTATCTGAGGCCCCCTCGACCCTTCCTTGGCCACTGCTGCTCTGGGGAGGTCCGACCAGTAGTGTATCAACGGCAGCGATAAACTGCTGAAGAGAGAGCTTCCACTGCTCTGTCCGCGATGCGCTCAAGGGGCCTCGCATTTTCTTAATAGCAGGCAATCGCAAAATGGGCACCATGGGAGCCTTTTCGTAGGTAGTCTGCGGAGATTCCTCGGAATCATGTGGCTCCCCAGATTTGCTGGAGACCCCTTTAGGTAGGCTCTTGTTACAGCTACTCAATAGCAAGGAGAGGGCAGCATCCGCCACAGCCAAGTCTGGAGCGGACAAAAGGGTTTTTGCTACCCTTGCAGAAGCTACCAAGCAGCGCTCTGGACGCAAGAAGCAGCTGCCCTCTGAGAGAGTCCCTATTCCTCCAGCAGACTGCAGTTGCTGCACCTCGCCCTCATCGTCAACAAACGCCACACCGTCCCACTCGCCCTGCTGTGCCTCTTGCTGCCACTGCGGCTGCAGAAGCAGACGGAGCCTTTCTCTGGCGAGCTCATTGCCTGCACTGTCAAGGCCCCAAAGAGCTACGAGAGCGGCATGGGGGTGACGTGTCGCCCCTTCCTTTGTGGATGCGCTTCCTGTTTTCTTTTGCTTTTTCAGCGATCTCGGGCAGTAGGAGCAGTCAGAAAAACACACACTGTGCTTCAGAAGCAAACGGCAGCCACGTGAGAGGCAGACCTCCCGCAGTGCTTCGTACTCAGCGGCAGTCAGGAGGAGCGGGGGAGTCACCAGGCAAACTATGCCCTGAGAATGCTGCTGCTGCCCATGCAGCTGCTCTTGGTGCTGCTTATGCTGCTTCCCCTCTTGCCGCTGCTCCTGCGTAGACTGTGTGCCGGGAGACAGCGCGGCGTGCTGTCGTAGCAGGTCAAGAACATTATGGCTCATCCGCTGAAGGTCTGCTATTCTAACCACATCTAGGGGCTGAATAGTGCCACTGCTGGCCGTGCCCTGCTGCTGCTGGAGTTGCTGCAGAAGTGCCTGCGGGGGAGCTGTCCAGCATAGGGGCGCGCCTGTGGCAGCAGCAAACGCTTCACAGTCTGCTAGCAGGTCCAGCGGCCTCAAGTCTGCATAGCAAACCAAGAAACGCTCAAGAGGGCCCCCCAGGTGCGTGGAAGATCTTGATGTACTCGGTGCGTGTACAAGAGCCCAGAATAAGGAGCTTGTGCCGTTCCTGCCTGTGCACGCTAGCTGGTCCTTTCGCTGCCCTTGCTGCTGCTGCCACTCCAAAAAAACTTGTTGGGGGTCTGGACAGCAATTAAGTGCCAGCAACACCGCAGAGGCAAGGGAACAACAAAATGCTGCTGCACATCTGAATTTTGCTATCTCTTCTTGAGTCAAGCGGTCAGAAAGGCCCGCCACTTGCTCCTTCTGCTCCTTCTGCTGCTGCTCTTCCTGGAGGGTCACGACTTTCGCCAAGAGAGCCTCAGGAAAACCACGTGGCGCCACTTGCTGCAAAGCCTTGCCAAACTGGCAAGCCGCATCTTCCAAAAAGCGGCTCCAGTATACGCCAACTGCAGAGGAGACCTGGACACGAAGGGCGGCTTCTGCTGCTGCGCCTGCAGTTGTTTCTCCTGTTGCTGCTGGGTGTGCGGATCCCAGCTCCTCCATGGACGCTAAGGTGGCAGTGGGTGCAGCGCGAGCAGACGCAAATGCCTGTTTAATAGTAGCAGCGATGCCGCTAGAGGTCCAATCCCCCGCGCGCGCAGTGTCGGTTGCTGCTGCTGTTGCTACTGCTGCTGCGGATACGGCTTGCCAGAAGCTGCAGCGGTGGAAGAGGGCCTTGAGTCTTTCTCTCAGCTTCCGCCGAAACCGGTAGGGCCCAGATTTCAGCTTGGCAAAAGCAAATACAGTAGGAACTCCATGATGCCTGCTGTTGCCGTTGCTGCTGTTCTGCCCTGTGTTACAACAGAAGTAGAGCACCAATCCTTCGCTGTCACAACGGTACCTCTCTGCCTCCTGCCGCTCCAACCTCCACAGCGGCAGCAGTAGCTCAAGCGGAGAGGATGCCCGCAACAACTGCACAACTGACGCGGTCTGCACACCGAGAGACTGCAGAAGCGGGAGAGATACCTCAGGGCTCAGACACAAAGGCCCCCAGGGGGCCCCCCGGGGCCCTTCAGGGGGGCCATGCAATGTGTGCGGCACTAGCGAAAAAAATACAAGACGGCCCTCCTCTTCCGCTTTTTGCTGCTGTTGTTGTGTGGGTGCTGCCACAATGTGCTGTTTTTCAGCGCAGCCTACCAACTCCCCAACGAGGGTGTGCTCCTGCAGCAGCTGCTGGAGCTCCTTCACCTTCGTTCAACAGCCGCACACATCAAACCCTTAACCCTTAGCCTCGAACCCTGAACGCTACGCCATATTGGAAATGCAGGATGTAGCGTTACTCAGGCTGGCGAGGGTGCTGCAACCTGTCTTCTAAACTTGCAATTTGCAAAAGTCTATAAACGTTAGGGTTGTGAAGTTGTGGATACCTGATGTTCTTTCAGTTGCTGAAGCTGCCTGTTCCAAGCTGCAGCAACCCTCAGCGCGTATGTTTCCCTCCGGGGAGCTGGAGGGGGGTCGGCATCAAAACTTGGGGAGACAACGCGTTCTGCCCCGACCAGCCGGAGCAAACTAACTGCTTCCTGCAGCTGCTGCTTGTTCCGTTGCTCTGAGTGTGCGATTTTCCCCCGCGCTGTAGTCTCGGCTTCCTCTGCATCGTAGGCACGGGTGGCCTTAGCAGTATCAAGAACGGGAGTAGCAGCAGCAGTAGCAACAGCAACTGGGAGGAGAAGAGAGACGTTTTTGCTGCAACAGACCCAGGCGCCGAGCTCCTTACAGAAGGAGATCTGCGCGGCTTCGCCATTCAGCTTTTCCAATGCCCATACACTAAAAATTTCCTCCTTGCCATTGTCGTTGCTGCTGGGAGGCGGACAGTAACTCATAAGGGATTCTGCCAACTGGTGCGAAGCCAACACGTTGGTTCCTAGCTTCTGTGCTGCAGCTGCATCAAGAGTCGCTTTGATTGCTGAGGCACTCAGTTCCAGCTTCTTTTGCCTTGGTCGGTTCTGATGCTGTTGCTTTTGCTGCTCCTGCAGCTGCAACATGAAGATGGCCAGTAAGTCCAGCTCTAAGTCAAAAAACTTGGGAAGCCCCCGCCGCAGCAGAATAAAGCGGTGCTGTTGTTGCTGTTGTTGCTGGGATGCCAGTGGGAGCTCTAGGAGTGAGATCCCCCTCCGCAGAAGCGGCCTAAGTGCAGGACATGAGGCAAACAGCATATCCTCTGCTTCCCTATTCTGAAGAGATACATCAATCAGCACGCTGTCTTCGATGCAATTGCTGCAGTGGTCGTCGCCTCCTGCTCTACCGTTGCTGATGCTCTGGGACTCTTTGACACCCGCCATGATTGTGGCAGGTTCCGTCGCTGATACACCGGCTGCTGGACGTGATGAACCTGGTGTGGCTGGTGGTGCTGTTGCGGTTGCTCTTTCGGCCGACGCCCCTGTATCCGATGCAGCCGTTCCAGGTGCTGCTACTGTGCCTGCGCTCCCTTGCCCAAGCGTTACATCCTTCAAGCGGCGTCTCTGTAGCATCAGCCCCGACGTCCTTGCCTTCCTTCCTCGCAGTTTCTCTTTCAGCTGCGGCACAGCATCCGCTGCTCTGGCAAATGCTGCTGCTGCAGCAGTTTCCTGCTGTCCCTGCTCGTTCCACCGCCATAACTCCCTAACAAGCGCCTCGACATTCCCGCAGCCCTCAGGAGAGCCCCCTAAGGTCTCTTCCCCGTCGGGAGGAACTCTACTGCCTGGGTGGCCTACAGCATTCTCTGAACCTGCATGCATGGCGCTAGGACATGCGTTGTCAGGTCCATGAGGGCTCCTTAAGGTGCTGGGGAGAAGAGCAGCACCAAAGGGCCGCGAAGAGTCCATGGGGAGCGTTGCACGATACTGGGGACGCTTGCGAGAGACTGTGGGATTTCTTCCTAAAGCTAGGAATGTCTCCGTAGTTGAGAATGATGACATAAATACTGAGATTTAAAACACGGACATGGCGAATGAGGAGGCCGTTTTGCTGCGCCTTTCAGATCTCGAGATGGACGGCTTCGGGTAGGCGCCTCTACCGACACGCAGAGGCTGGGCTTTTCTTTCCCCACTTCTCGTTCCACTCTTCTTTTATTGGACCTTATTCCTAAATACTTTTGCATAATGTGCAGCAGTTCTTCATAAGATTTCGCGCTCCTGCGGAGTTCTCTGTCCTGCCTGCGAGCCTCCGGCCTGCACACCCCCGAGTAAAAGCTCGCCCTGCACTTCCATATGAGGGGCTGACCATCACGGCAAGTACAGCAGGGCTCATTTGCTAGCTTATAGCCTATCATATTGCTGTACGAAAAGATGGGTACCTCTCTGGCGTTTTGCAATGCTTGGTGGAAGGTGCTTTGGCTGCCCTGGAGGTCTCGAGCCATCCTGCAGCTTCCTAACAAAAACGTGAAGAATTGACTGGTGTGGGCGCAGGTAGGCACAGGTCACAACACCTTTATCGACTGGGGGACAGCAGGGATGGCAGCAATAGTTGCACTGGCCTGCTGCGCCAAGTTACAGAACCCCTAAGGCTGTACTGCACTGTTCCTCCTGCAAATAGAGAGAAAATCTTTCATATCAGACTGCTGCGTCTATTGTCTGTCTGCTTGGTGGTGCCCTGCTAAGGCGTCCTCCCCTTCACCTACTGTAATCCCGATCGCAACGCATTTGATCGATGGAACATCATGAACCCCACACTAGGGCTCTAGGGATTACAATTTTAGAGTTTACGTCTAAGCACCCGATTCTTTATGGCAAAAGTGCTGAGACTTTGCTGCTGCACCGGGGGCTAGAGGCTTGTGCAGATGGCAATTAAGGATATCCCGCAACAGTTCCTCGGGTTGCAACACCAATAGCAGCTGGGCCACTGCTACTGCTGGAGCTGTTGCTGCTCCTAAAGCAGTGTGCAATGCACAGAGGAGGCAAGACGCAGTCATTTACTTTGTTACTGTCTTTTTGTACCATAAGAGATTGTTTAGCCCTTCAGGCCGAGTCAGCTAAAAATGTTGACAGTACCGCCATTATGGTGCGTGTTGCATATTATTGTGGGGTCGTTGAAAATTGACTACAAGTCTTCCTTATGCGGTTTTACCGTGGTGGATCATGTCTCTGATCTCGCTAGCAAGAGGGCCCCTACCTGTGAGTATCCCAAATCGGCTCTTTCGGCCTGGATACGTCTCCGCTTGTTGGCGGAGGGTGCCTCTCGCCAGCCTGGTACTAAAGGGTTCTGTGGGAACCCTGATTGATTGCAGCTTTTGGCTTTCGTGAAGACTACTGCAATACTACCAAACTTCAGCCATTAAAGTATCAGCTGAATATGCTGCTACTGTTGTTACTGCTACTTTATTGTTGTAGCAAACTTTGCCTACTGGTGTCTTCTTGGAAAGAAAGAAATATATGATCCACTTCGACGCCTGGATAAGGCAAGACCCCATGACACATCGGGGTTTGTCTGGGCTGAAGAATTTTGTTGATGTGGTCCTCTCCATCATTCTACTGTATTCCTGGGTGGTGGAGTCTTCTTGGGCAACTCCGCTTGGCGAACTGGGTTCTCCCGATTCCGGAAGGTCCAGCTAGGATTGGATACCATAAATAGTCGGGGCCCAATGTGTCATTTCCCCGTCCTTGATTTGGAGGACACCTAGAATATTCTATCTAGCGATTCAACAATGTCCCTAGCGCTCCCAATCTCTTCATCTCTTGCGTGCGTAAGTCATTGTCATGGCGCAGGGGTCGTCTCAACTAGGATCCGGGAAAACGTCTTCTTAAAGGTCCTAGCTGGTGCGAGTAGAGAGGGTAGGGCAACAGGAAGGTCGACAGAAGAATTGGACGAGGGGAGAGGAGGGAGTATTTTTGCATGACGGTTGCAGTCACCCTGATCCCAAATCCTGTTGCCTCTCTGTCTGCTTTTTATAAAACGCATACGCAACATCAACTCTCTGCTTAAGAGCCACTAACTGCCTTAAGTATTCCTCCCACACTCCCCACAGACCTGTGAGGGCCTCTTCTGGGTTTGGAGCATCATGAAGAGCCTTATAAAGCGCCCCCCGCAATCGCTGCACCATCCAGACTGGATCTCCATTAAATGCAGTGAGGGGCAGGATACAGGGAACGGCATAGGGCGACTGAGGCAACAAAGCTGTTAGAGGAACGGTCACTGGCAGGCGGAAGGGGCCTTCTGCTGCTCGGACGTCGTAGTTCGGAGGGATGGAGTAAAGGGCCCCTTTGGAGGCCCTTACCGTGGCACTGCTACTACTACCTGCACTCCAAAGGAAGACATCAGAGCGAAAATCATGCACGTTTCTATTAGGAAATCAAAATTTCTGAAGTCTAGGGATATAGGGGGAAGAAGTTAAAACAATACAGAACGGTACCAGCAGGACGACGAGGTGCAAAAGAACAGTAACAATAGCAGCAACCAAACCGGTAGCATCGAGTATGCACCGGCAGTAGGAACAGTGACGGTAGTAGCAGTATCAGTGGCAAGAGGATTTCTTGCCTGTGAGCTGTGCCTCTTTGCATTCGGTCGGGTCTGGATCCGTCTGAGTCGCAACGTCCTTAGTGGGGCCGCCAAACGGGAAAAGGTCAACTTGAATGAAGTGCGACATTGCGCTGTCTCTCACGCTCTCGATTTCGTTAGCGTCACCAGTTTCGTGCTCATGAACAGTGTCCTCATATAGTTCCCCTGAGCTTTTGGTGGCACGAGCAAGTGAAGAAGCTTCCTCAGGGGCAGGGGGGCCCAGCTCACAAACCGATAAAGACTCATCAGTCAAAGAGGGAACTGCCTGAGGGGAAGGACCCCCACAGCAGCTGAGTGCCGCAAAGAAAGCCCTTACGCAGGGTTCATCAATATGCCGGCCTCGCCGCATTTCCATGTGCTGCTTTGAGGGTCTCACCGCTTGCAATCTGGAGGCAGTTGTGTGAGGGCCCCCTGTTTGGGCGGGGGTCGGAGCAGTATTAGCTGTGCTCCGATCAGGGGTGCCGGCCAAGAGGGTCAGAAGTTCATCCTTGCTGATGTAGTTTAGCAGCGCGCGCCTCAGGATAGCAGTCTCCCTCGCTAAAAGCTCATTCTGCCCTTGCAGGAGATGAACAAGATTATCTTCTGGATCCGAAGTGGCCAGCGGCAAAGCTGGCGTGGGAGGCCCCTCTTTTAACGTGTCCTCAGGGTTCTTCTGGGTAAAAGCAAGACCCGTGATATCCTCCATGGGACTGCTAACTACAGGAGAAGGTGCCACATCCCGCCGGCCCTTTTGCTTTCGCGCCTTCTTTGTAAGCCCCTTAGCCTTGATTTCAGGGATCCCCAAATCCCCTGTGATGCTCTCTTTCAGGATTCCAGAAGCCCCTGAAGTCCTCAGGACCCTTCCGCGTGGCGTGGGTTTGCTGCTGGAGCGGCGGGTGGATGAGATCTTCGCTTCCCTCGAGAAAGATTCCTTGGTACCGGATGCCAGCGAGAAGGGGCGCCTCGGCCTTGGGACACCTCCAGCATCACCGCTGCTCAACTTCTATGCGACCCAAAACACACACAGGTGGAGGAATGTGCTGATGATGTGGTGAAAAGCCGCCTCTTATATTCGGCAGCAGAATATCCACTGAGCCAAGGGCAAGTGCACTTATAAGTGGTTGAGGCTGACGGCTAACGCACTCTCTGACTCCGGGGGGACTTTGGTTGCAGGGTCACATCTTGCCCAGCTGTACCTAAGGCCTCCATAGACGCCCGAAGCCTGCGGCTTTGCGCCTTTGGCCGAACATTTCCTACAGGGATAGGGTAATTGCCCCCATGTGCCGTGTCCCCTGATGGGCGTCTTTCCGGGGGCGACGGCATTGATGCCCACAAGGCCTCGAGCTGCAGACGAGGGAGTGTCGGCTGGCATTACCAGGAAACTCACGCTCCAAACCCAGAGCAATAAGCCTTCAGACGTGATTGAGGGAAGCCTGGAGGGTGAGCGTAACAGACTGCTCGTATCGATTTGAGTACTTCGATTATGGTTCACGCGGTTTGGCATCTAGCGAGTACTCCTAGACCAATATGAAGATTGGAATGATGATGGGAGCAAAGAAGAGGAGCATTTAAAGTGATGAGAATCACAAAACATGGAAGTAGCAGCACGTAGATTTTTGCTGCATGTCCTCTTCAGCCGGCTTGCCAGTGGTCCGTTTCAAGTGGGATCGCTCGGTGTGTGAATTTCGCCTTCCTGCAGCTTTAGGGGGAAAAGTGTCTGATAACTAACTTTCTAAAGCCGTCAAAATTACATGTATGAAGCTTAAAACCCTCAAGTGAAGAATTCTTTGGAGCAGCTAAAGATAGGGGGTCAGCCGCCAGCCGTCGGCTGCCCGGCAAGAGGCCGTCCTCCCAAGCTTATCGTTGGCCCACAGTTACCATTTGTTCTTTTGTTCAGCTTCTGCAAACGCTGCATCACACTCTGTGAAGCCTTTTCCTTTATACCGAAGTAATGTTAAAAGAGTTTTTATGTATGCTATTTCGAATATGCATATTTGTTTCTCAAATTAGGAGGCTATTTCTCCCTGTCTTGTAGGGTTGTAGGGGTCCCAGCCACTGTTAAGGTGTTGCTAACACGGGACTCCGAAGCTCCTCTTTGTCCAAGCGGCAAACAAACAGCTGAGCACTACTGGTAGCAAATCAACGAATAAGAAGTGTGAGACGAGGCCGAAGGGCTCGAATACGGAGCTCATAATATTTGGTGCTGAAGCGCCACATACTGAACACGAATAAGAAGAGGGCACTACGCAGAATGAACTGTTTATGCTGTTCATCGGCCTGAACTGTAATACAACCAACTGAACTCAATGCACCTCGACAATCAGGCCTACTGTATAATAACTAACATAAAAATAGGTTCAGAGGCAGCAGCAGCTGCAAATCACACATGGCAGCAGTTGTTGCGGCCAAGGCAACAGTGGTAGCAGATCCATAGTGCACAGCAACCAGGGCAACGCAAGCAAACGCAATGCACAAGAATGAGCCGCATCGGAGTAAGAGCAGCAACAGCGAAAGCATCAGTAGACACTACCGTAGCCCACTACGATAGCCATTGGTGCAATGGCATCGCTTCAGATGAACACAGTGCTGCAACACGTAATAAATCTGCTCCATTGCCAGCAGGGTGAATTCTTCGATTATGGACGTACCTTGAGAATGAAATTTCGTCTGTTGCTGGTACAGTAGTAGGGACACCGCTGCCACTGAACGTGGTGAGGCTCGATGCTGGGGCAACAGAGAACTGCAAAAAGAGACTATGGATTAAATTGCAGCTAAACATAGTACCTATCCACTGGCACGATGTTGAAAGCAACCTCGCCACTGGACCATCGTCAAAATACACTTTGCAGATTTGCTACATGTAGTCTAGGGCAGCTTTTGTTGTGTTGCTGCCCGTTCTCCTAAACTGTGAGAATCGCGCTTTTATGTGAGGCAGCTCCGCAAACGGCATCGTCAGCTCCCATAAGGGCCACAGCTGCTGTGGGACACGAATTTTGCATCTTAGCCCATACGCATTTCCTCAGAGAAACAGTAACAAGGTCGCAAGCGCTTGCGCAGGGAGGTGGCGTGCTCTCCCTTTGATCCCGATTTTTTTTTAATATGTAGCTAGTTGACATCCGTGTCGCTTATTTTGCCAGTTTGTCAATGACTCGCTCTGGATCTCTCTCTGACCTGACTCGGCATGACCGTTGAAACGATTCTGCTTCCGTTAGCTCCTGAATGTCGTTTCGCTGCTTCCATTTGCTTCTGGCTAGTTGGTCCTCTTTTCCAACCAATCATTACTTGTTCCAGTGCCTATGTGCCTGACCACCCCGTTTCGCATGTGACTGCGCGCACCTCGAAGCCCCTTGCTGAATAGTAGATCTTGCGACACCGTTTGTTGTTCTCCGTTTCGCCTCCCCTCTGCCTGCTGTCAGTCCACTCGGCCTCCTAGGGCGTACGTCCTTTGCGTATTCTTGCTGTCAGTCTGTTATCCCCACCATGCGCTCGCCCTCCCTTCGTTATTTAACTCGTCGCTTGCTCTATCTAGCAGTATATAGCTATTGGCCAGGCTCGACTGCCAAGCATAATCCCCGACACAATCATAAGTTATGAAGGCGCCTGACTCCAATTGTGTTATGCGATTTCTGTCATTTCCTATTCTCATCCTAGATACCGCTTCCCCAGAAACATGAAAAATGGGTTGCACTATAGCAAGTGAGATCTATTCCTACGGCTGCGAGGTCTGAACTAATACAGGCAATGGTATTGCTGCTCTAGATGAGTTTACTCGTAGCAGTTTTGTGTGCCCCGATCATAAGATGCACGATACCCAACGCTCAAATAACTTGAGAGAGATAATCAAAAACACATACACTAGCCTTGCCTAAAAGATACCGCAGTAGGGCTACCGGTGAAGGTGGGAAAGCAGCTCGACGTCAGCTGCCTTCAACCTGCGCACGTTGGCTGCTCACTGGTCTACTACAGGTGGCTGCAACTGTACCACTGAAGATCCTGGTGCTATCTCGAATATACGCAATAACGCTCCACACAATCAGGGGGACATCAGACAATCCAGGATCTTCTTCGCAGGGCCCAAGCAGGATGCCCCTCCGTTCGAATAACACAGTCAAAATGTTCGTCTGTCTGCAGGTTGGGGAAAGGGAAGGACAGGCGCCAGGCGTTGTTCTTCCAGTAAATCGTTAAGCTCTTTCTATGCGCTATCTCATTGCTTGTTCATGTATGTGCTTTACACAAAGTTCTCGGCTGCGAGGTGGGGAGGGTACACAGGTGGGCTCCTGGTGCAGGGTCGAGGCCCACACAGGGCCCTTTCCCGCAGTCCACGTGAACCGTTCACACAGAAAAATGAAAAAGCATATTCCACTTACACTTATGGCGTTGGTTGTCTGGGTTTCTGCCTGCTTAGTGCTTACTGGAGTTCTCAGTGCCTGGAGGTGACTTCCGCGTCGTCCGCTAATTTGGTTGAAAGCTGGGGAAGCACCCTCCGAAATCTTCAGCTGGGGCTAATAGGCGTGAAGCAGTATGGCAAAGAGTGCTTTTATAGCGCTAGGAAGAACAATTGACAGCGACCGCTCAGGTATTGGTGAGGGTGGCAATCAGTGGGGCGCTTGGGGTGTAACAGGAGAGTTTTTCTCTGTTCATCCGCAAATCGCAGTCCCCTGAGGCCTAACATCACTCTAATGCATTTCATCTGGTGTTTCTGATGCCGAAAGCAGGCAAACAACAAAAAGCGAAGACTACTGCGCTCACCTGCAGACCCTAGGACGCGCACTTCGCATAACCCAGAGACCGCAGCCACTAAGGGGCTCTGTTACTGCTCTCTAACACACTCTCCGCTGTTTTGTTCTTGATCCATGAGAACAAAATGTGCACAAAGCTCTAAAGAACCTAATATAAGAAGCATTTGGCTACGGCAACTGCAGCAACAGCAGCTGCTCTTTCTGCTGCTGGAACTGCTGCAGCGCTCACGTCAAGGCAGAGGCAGCAGAAAACCCCTGGCTTTTGCCGTCACTCTTTGATGCTGCTGTTGCCGGGCTTGTTGATGTTGCTGCTGTTGACTGCAGATGGCAACTGAGGGGGATCTCGACGGCAGCAGTATCGTTGACGTGTAACACCGCTGCAGCGCAGCAGCAGCTGCAGCAGCAACACCAGCGCCTCGTTGCGGCAACGCTGCAGCAGCCTCCACTGCAGCAGCTTTTCTGGCTGAAATGCAACAGAGTGTACAAACACTCGAACATACCAAGCTGAAGAGCCTCTCTTTCGCTCCCTCTCGCCGCTTACTTCTCTCCCTCCCTGCTTCCTCCTGCAGCCTCGTTGCAGCAGCAGCTGCAGCATCAGCTGCTTCGGCAGAAGAGGCATTTCTTGGAACAACCCACTCTGAGGCTTGTATCTCTGATCTACAAGGTACAGTGCTCCCCATAGGCACCTGTTTCTGCTCTATTAGCGACCCCCGATGCTTCTGCGTTCGCCGCCCTCTGGGCGTGCAGCAACCGCAGCAGCGGCAGCAGCAGCGGCAACGGCCGCATTTCTCAGCTGAAATATATACGGTTTTTCGTTTTAATATACTCTCTTGGCTCTTTGGGTGCCCCGGAGGCAGCATTATCGGCTTTTCCTCTTAGCTGCTGGCGCAACGGGAGGGTCCGGGACCTAACCCTTGTCAAGCACAGGTGTACAGCAGCACGACGTTCTGTTTGTTGTCGCCGCTACCGTGCATGAACATCTACCCTGTAGCACTGAAGTATCAACAGTGGCTGCCGAAACATATCCCAGAGAGGGGCAGCAAACCAGCAGCTCCAACGGCGAAAGGAACAGCAGGGGCAGCTGCGGCAGCAACAGCAGCGCCAGTGCTACCGTTAGAAGGAGCGGAGAAAGCAGAAGCAGATCCACACAGCGAAATGGCTTCTGCATCCCCCACATCGGCTGCTCCGTTGAAGCAAGAGGCAGCAAGCTTGCAACGACGGCAGCAGCAGCTGCGTGACAGGGACCCACTGGCCGACTTGGCGACGAGCACAGCACCCGAGGAGGAAGACCAGCAACAGAAACGGCAGAAGCCTACAGCGAAGAGTGCACCTCCTCCCAAGCTGCAACCGGTAAACGGGTGGGGATTGAGGGCGCAGCAGCAGCGGGAAGCGTCAGATCGCGAAGCCATGGCGGTGTCGCCAGAGTTAGCCCTTGCGAGACTCTCTGATGGCCTTCCATCATTGGCAGCGTTTCTCGCAGCAGAAGCAGAGCTGGATGCCGGTGAGGGGCAGCGTGGTGGACCTCCTCGTGTTTCCTCCCTTAAGTCTGAAGATGGGCCTGCAGGAAACGAAGAGTCTCTGGAGGCGGCAACGGCGTCTCCGTCTTCGGCAGCAGCTCCCTCCCCCGCTTTCTCTTGTGCACCAGCCGATTCTGCGGCGGCAGCGTCTGCGGGAGCAACAGGGTCGGCAGGCTCAGTTGAGACATGCTGCGATGAGTCAGGAGCAGCGTCGGCCACACGGGACGATGCCACATCGGGGGGGGGTGCCGCTGCGCCTCCCACCCCGCGTCGACGGCAGCGAGTTGTAGGACCTGAGTTGTATCTGCGTTGGCAAATGTTGGCGAAGAAAGTCGAGAGGGTCAAGGGCGTCTGCTACAGCAGCACTCGGCACGAGTGGATCGCTGTCGGCCCCGTACAGCACGGGAGCAGCGGCAGGAAGAAGAATGTTTACTTCTCAGTTCCTCGGTACGGCTTCTCGGAGGCGCGACAGCTTGCGGTGGAGTGCAGGAAGAGGCAAGAGGAAATTCTCGCGGGAGGAGGTGATAAAACTATCGACGCCGCTGCCATTGCAGCGGAGCTGACTGAGAAGTACAAGCAAAGGGCTGGCGCGGCAGCTGCGGCTGCAGCGGCCGCTGGCATTGCATCCCCGGATGCAGACGACAGCGAAGACTTGGAGAGACTCGGCATTACGTTGGGAGAAGAGACGGACGAGGGCAGCAAGACGGATACTGAGGAGGCGGCAGCAGCCGACACGGATAGCAGCAGGGGCCGAACGGGGGGAGGCGGCTCAGGCAGTGCTGGGCAGGGAGCAGGGGTGGCTGGAGGAAGGCCTTACGAGCTGCGCAAGAGGAGACCTACCACGGCGCATTTGAGCGACGATGAGGCTACCGACGTAGCCTTTAGGCGCTCCTACACGACACGCGCGCAGCAGCTCCCCCAGCAAGCCAACCCCAGGAAGAGGGGTAGGCCACCACGGGCACGAGGCGTTGCTCCGGCTCACTCCTCCCACGACTTGCATGCTTTGGAGGATCCATTTGCTGCTGCCAGTGCTCAGCACCAGGCAGTGCATCATCAGCCTCACAGAGGCGTCCTCGAAGCGGCCCGTATGGGCGCGGGGGGAATCTCCATGAGCGGCAGTGGGAGTGCCAGCCACACCGTGGCTCAGAGCACCAGCAGCGGGAGCAGCAGCATCAATATGCGCTTGTTGGGTGAGGCGCTGGGCATGGTTCTTCAGGATCTGCTGCGGCTTTGTTCTTCCCCCTCGGCGCTCATTGCTGCGGGAGTTCCTCGCGATGCGGTCGATCTCTGTGCGCTCAGCTGCCGCTGCATCGAGGTCAGTTTCAAAATCGGTCTCCCCTTAGATTTGCAGTGCCTTGTACTATGCATGGGTGTGCTGCGCCTGCTGCTTCCCTTGGTAATGCTGCCCTTCACTGGCCTCTTGACTGGGCTGCTGCTTGTCTTCAGGCGAGCCAACGCAGAGTTCGCGCTGCGACGTCTCCACAAGAGCTGGAGGAGTTCGTATCGCTTTTCAGGGATTGCATCATTCAGCACAGGCTTCCGAGCAGCAGGCGACCCGAACAAATCCTGCTGTACGTCGAAGCACTCGCTAGGAAGGAGAGCGCTGCAGCAGCTGCTGCTGCTGCAGCGGCTGCTGCTGCTGTTGGTGGTGGCAACAGCGTCTCATCTGGGGGCACATCTGCCGCTGCAGGAGGGCACAGGGTGGCTACCCAGCTGCAGCAGCAGCAGCTGGGTATGCTTCTTCAGCAGAAAGCCTTGAAGAGGGATTCCCCACCTATGCGGCCCCTCAAATCGCCTGCTGCGCAGACGCAGCAGCACCAACAGCGGCTCCAGCAGCTGCAGCTTTTGTCTCTACTGCAGCAGCAGCAACAGCAACACCAGGAAATGGCCAGGAGGCCGATAGCAGAAGCTTCCACTTCTCCGCCAGTGGACGCCATTCTCAGGAAGTGTAAGCGTTTAGGAACTACAGCGTCCTGGCTTGTTGGGAGCTTGCCGTTGCTTTCAGAAGCCTTGTAGCTCGTCCAGTGATAGTTACTCGGAAGTGCACAGGGCAGCAGCCCACAGTCACCTGCTTGGTCGTGTGTCTCGGTGCCTCAGATGTTACGTTTGAAGCTTGGAGGAGGTCCTGCGTCGCGGCCTTGAATCGGGCTGAGAGCTTTGGTGATCTGCGGCGTTTGCCGCAACTGCGAGACGCCATCGTTTACATCTTAGGGGCTGACTGAGGCGTGCGGCAGCAACAGCAGCAGCATTTGTGGCTGCCTAGGGTGCATTTCGCCAACCGTGTTAGTGTTGCTTTGCTGCTGGTGCGGTAGAACGCACAGCCAGCAGAAGCAGTGACCGATGCGCATCAGCACTTGCTCGAGAACCATTCACCAACGGCCTTTACAGATGCTACACCGCGTGCTGTAGTGGTTGGTGGAGCAACTCCAGACGAAGGAGTACGTGCGGCAGAGCGTCGCCTGAGAGGGAGTATTTACAAGGATGGATAGGGATGCCCTCGCAGCAGCAGCGACTTGAAGTGCCTGCAGCTGCTTGCTTTTGAAGCTTTAGGGCGCCTTTGTGTGATGAGAGGGATGCGTTTGCCTATAGGCTATTCTGTCCCATTGACAGCATATTAAGAAACCCATCTTTGCGCATCTTTTGACACTTCAGGTTACTGCCGTTGTGGACAATTTTGTTCCTAGATACTACTGCCGCTGGGAGGGGTAAATAAAGGACTGCAGGCCTAACCGGGGGGAACTGTGAAGGTTGTGGGGAGTATGCAGCTGTAAAGATTAGAAGTTGGCGTGAGGCAGTAGAAGAGCGACAGAGGGATTGAGCAGTGGTAGGGTGCATGGGAAGAGTGGAGATGTCTTTAAGAAGAGCAGAACAGGGGTTTGCTCATAGGTACAAGGAGTATGGGGGGAGGGCAGGATGATGAGAGAGGTAGAAACCCCCATCAGCAGATGCAGAGAGTGCAAGACGAAAAGACGGCTAGCAAGAGCCTGGTTTGCTATTTCTACTTTCTTCCCAATGCCACCTTTGGCTCAGCTGTCGTTTCAGTACTTTGGCTGCCACCCTGTGCTGAACGGTCCTGTAATATGAAAGACCCGCCTCCCTCTACTCCGAAGGAATTACGGTCTACACTACAGCCCCCATGGGAGGTTTGCGGTGCACCAGCCTGTGATTCCAGCAGCCCTCCTGTTGTTCAGGAAAGTACGGAGAGAGGGGGGAAAGGTGAGCCGTACGTTCTACAAGAGGAGCACGCACCTTTAAAAGTGCCTATCTCCCTAAATAGACTGTAGTGCTTCTCAAATTTGGGCTCATAGAGCTACAATTCTACAGAAGACAAGGCGCAGTGGGCTCCTCTTTGACGATGTCTAGCCCTCTAGCGTAGAAAAAGACAGTTGGATAGTTGGTTCGATGCGTTAGCATAGCAGCATTCGGAATATCCTCTCTTCTGGAGGAGCAGAAAAAAGCGAGAGCTGCAAAAGCAGTCTCAGCAGGAGGAGTCGATGTGGGGATATGTGGCACCATAGGAGGCTGCAGCGAAGAGCGAAAATGCCAACATGTGGGCACTCTCGAGCAGATACTAAAAGCATCGGCTGCTCCCCTACAAAATGAGGGAGACATAGTTAACCAAAGAACTATTCAACTATAGCATGATGTGGATATTGGCTCTTGGCGCTACTTGATCGGCGAAGCACTGCAGCGACCTGGCGATAAGCTGCAGATACTTACGTTCTGCATAACACCAGTTTGCTTGCTTGTGTTCATTTGCACTTGCTGCTGCTACTGTAATGCCACCAATGAAAAGCAACACTTTCAAAAATGCAACAAGGCAAACAGATACGCGCAAAAGGCAAGAGAAGGAAGCGAGGAGAAGTCTAAAGCCAAATGAACAGGAAAGGATACAGCAAAGCATTAGCCAAAAATAGATTTCAGAGGCCATGAGGAAGCACGCGGCGGCGCCAGCTCTCGCATGTCTAGTTTCGAGTGCCCTGCGATCGTTCGCAATTCACTGAGTGCTAGGCACTGCTCCGGCAGTCGTGCGCACATAAGATTCGATAGCATAGCCCGACTTCACTGACATATCTTCCTCCAAACTTACGGAATTAAAACCAATGGGCGCGGCCCCCAGAATCGTTACAATGAGTTCAAGTTCGGGCCGCTGTTAATACTTGATCCCCACTACTTCTCAGTGATCGCTTTGGATTGCACGATATCCGGTGCGCTATGCAAAGAGGTTTCCGTTACACTCTCCTGCTTAACAGAGGGAGAGAATAATGCACCTGAGAAAAAAAAGACGGGCTGGCTGCCGGCGTAGCTATCCTGCTGCTCCAAAAGCAGCAAACGGATGCGCTCATCGGCAGCGACAACTTTGGCAAAAGCTACGTTGTATCCGTGTGTGCCCCCATGAAAGAGGTCTAGGAATGTTGATGTAAGACCATGTTTTGCGGCCTTAGCCGCCGCTGCAGCCTTTGCTGCCACTTGCTGCAAAAGGGCCGCCCATAGAGCGTCATCTGGGGGGGAATGGAAGAGCTGCTAGTTAGACGCTAAAGCGAGATAGGTATTCGCTAGTGCATGCTCCTCTTCGGAAAGCTGCTGCAGCTGCGACCAAATAGGCCTAACATACTCCATATTGATGCCCTCATCCGTCCCCTCAGCTGTCGCTGCTGCTGCTGTCGCTGCGGTGGCTACTGCTGCTTCTTGTGCACTTGTCGATGCAAGCGTTGCAGTCCTGTCTGCTGATAATGCATTTGATGCTGTGTTGTTCCTTCCGACGGCTCTCTTGGTGGTCTCGCTACTTGGCTTGATGCCCTCATTTATTTTCGGAAGGCGATTCTGGTACTGCTTCCAGCGCCTTTTTGCCATCGTCGCCTCAATTTGATCGTGCGCGGCGAGGAAGGGCTTGAGCGTCTCCTTTAGCGCCGAAAATTGTGTGAGGATTTTATCTTTGGTGATGCCTGGTTGGAGGACCATTTCAGTAAAAACGATCCACCTCGAGGAGAGCAACATCGGTGCTGTCAACGCAAAGTCCTTCATTTCCACCAGGCCACTTCCCTGAACTCTCAACCTCAACTTGCTACTGCTGTCTAGACATAACATAGAGAACTCCTCGCACATTCTTTGCTGGGTTAATGGCAGGCGGGAGAGATGTTCGACACTGATAGACCTCTCGGCATCCGCGGCATAGGGTTGCTGCTGCAGGGCACTCCAGAAACCCTTGGTAGTGCCACGGGGGCTCTGTAGTGCACGAGCATCCTGGCTTATCGGCTGCCTTTGGAGCCGTTTCAGACACCCAACGCTTATTCCTGATAGCACTGCGACAACGGCCACCCCCCAGAGGCGGCGATGGGCAATGTAACCATCCTGGGTTCTCTCCAGTGGCACGGGGTCTGAGGCTCACCACTGCCAGGATGCGAGACGAAGAGAAGGAGGGGGGCGTACAATGGCCCCTCAGATGGAAAGTATGTGAGAAGAAGGGGATGCCTGGACCAGGAATGCGTCGAGATGCGTCGAGAAGCACAAGGGGGACAAGATGACATGCAGTGAGAGAGTGTTGCTACAGTAGCAGTCTAAGGGCTAACCCTTGCTGTGAATCTGCGTAGCGTGCCTAATCTGAGGCGTCGGCGTCCACAGTTTAAGACTGGCTCATCGCAGAGCCCGCAGCTGAGCCCAGCCGCAAGCAGGGTTCGGACGAAGCATGAGCTGAGGAGGTATCAAGTTCGTATGCGCGTCTCTGAACTTGATTAAGTGTGTTATTCTGCACGGCTCTGAGGAAGGGTTCGATGCAAAGAGATGCCATGCAGACTGGCAAGAAGTGCGGCACAGTGTCCTGTCGGTAGCGACTGTCTACTGTGGTGCCGGGGGCTTCTAGGTGCTACTTGTCCTTCCCTGCCTCCCGCTTTTCCATCCATTTCTATGCTAAATAAAAGTATATACTATTAAGAGGCAAAAATGAAACATTTTTCACGATGTGGTAATAACTCTTCTCTAGCCAACCGGTGCGTCCTGTGGGGTACCGGGTTTGCTCTTTTACACATTACCCTTTCGAAAGTGTCAACCCAACTTCTAGGTACAGAAACACAGCATATACTCCAGAGAGATAGGCTGTTTATAAAAATCAGTAGTCACACTCTCTAGGGCTGTCAGAAAAAGCGTAAGGGCCTACGTTGCCTGCAGCTGCCACGGGCGAAGCAAGACAGGGGTATGACAGAGAACCTTCAAAGTCTTCTTAGATGCAGTTTAAGTGGAAAGATGCTACCCACGCAAGTACTTGGAACCTTCTCATGGGGAATAAGCATACAAACTACTGCGCACCAAAAACCAGTATTTTAAGTGTACAGCAGGTCCGGCAACCCAACAACCGTACAGAGAGCTGGGGAAGCAACGCCTAGGCACCAACAAAGGGGCTCAAATTTTCTAGAGCATTCATAAAGGAATGCTGAGAGACCTGAGCTTACAGGTTCAGTAACTAATCATAGGATTACTGTAGCTACTCTTGCACTCTAAGGCACCATATGCTGACCAGTAACGATCAAACGCTCAGACCACTGGGAGAACAGCATAACACATGAAGTTGCGTTTAAGATGTTCCAACTCCAGCATTTTTGTTAGGTCTAGTCGAGTACTGCTAGCGCACCTGCGTTGCTTAAATAGACTCGGCAGCTCAGGGTGACCTATGCTGGCTTAAAATACGCAGCATGAGCGTGTACGTAAGTTATTGTGCGCGTCAATACTACTGTTCAGGATGACAGGTAAGCACAAACTTGTGTACGCTGGCTTTCCGGTCTCCCATGAGATTGAAACCCCGCGGGCCTTAAAAAGGAGAGGGGGAGTCCTTGTGGAGTGACAGGTATTCTTTTAAAGTCTGGTGACTTTTGGGGCTGAGGGCTACGTCACGAAGACCCTAGAAGGACTGGAGCAGGCAGAGTTTTCTGTCGTTCAGGCAGTGCGGATCGTCTACGGCCAGTAGTAACTAACTGCAAAAAGCCACACCGAGGGCACTAAAAGAGCAATAATACACGCTGAAGCCCTTCTTGCAAAAAGGTAGACACTCAGAACAAATTCGAAAGGAGGTACAGGGAAAGTGGCAGTAGTCGGCTGATTGACTTAAAGCGCCTTCGCCAACCTGCTTTCTGACTCTTTTCCTAACCGGTAGAGAGATCAACCGGGCGGTGAGAAACAGTATGAAGGAATGCTTTGGAACGAAATGTCTAGTGTCTCGTACTCATATGAC